AATATTAGCAAACAGAATTCAAAAATACATTGAAAGGATCAAGTTCAGTTCATTTTAGGAATGCAAGGATGGTTCAACATATGCAAATCAATAAGTGTGATACACCACATTAACAAAATGAAGGATAAAAATCATATGAGGCCCTGACTGGTATGGCTCAGCTGGTTGGGCATCATCCTGCAAAGCAAAAAGTCACCGGTTTGATTCCCAGTCAAGGCGCATCTCTAGTTGTGGTTCAGTCCCTAGTCGGGGCACATACAAGAGGCAACTAATTGCATTGACTTTTCTCTCTCACATCAGTGTTTCTCTCCCTCCTTTCCTCTCCTTCTTAAAAAAACAAACAAACAAACCCATGTGATAACCTGAATAGGTGCTGAAAAGCATTTGACAAAATTCAACATTCATAATAAATCTTGAAACAAATGGGTATCCATAGAGGAATTCAGTGAAGTTATAGGATACAAAATTAGTATACAAAAACAGTTGCATTTATATATGCTAATAACAAACTATAGGAAAGATAAATTAAGAAAACAGTCCCATTTACAGCAACATCAAAAATAATAAAATAGGGATAATTTAACAAAGGAGGTGAAAGGTCTCTTCACTAAAAACTGGAGACATTGATGAAAAATAAAGAAGACCCAAACAAATGGAAAGATGTCCCATGTTCATGGATTGAAAGAATTAATATTGTTAAAATATCCATTCTACACAAAATACTCTTCAGATTAAATGCAATTCCTGTCAAAATTCCAATGGCATTTTTCATAGAAATAGAAACAACAATCCTTAAATTCATATGGAACTATAAAAGATGCTGAATAGCCAAAGTGATCTTGAGAAAGAAGAAAAAAGATGGAGGCCTCATACTTCCTGATTACAGACTATATTAATTTCCTAATGTAGGAAGAACAGCTATTATTTTTAATTTGCTAGTTAAAAAAATTAAGAATACTTGATACATGCAAGATTCTTTTATCTGTATCTGATTGGTTATATTGTTATACATTTGCTCTAAAGTCATTGTGAATGTCAAAATTGAAAAATAGATCTATGATACTAACTATAGGTCAACAATCAAATTGGAATTCACAGAGAGTTACATATTAAATGAGACCATCACTGAAAATTAACAAAAGTTATCAAAGATGCTTCTGCTCTGTCTATATATCTATGTTATCTATGTATCCACTCTGCCAAACACAAAGTTGCTTTCTTCCTACAAACATTCAGTCTTTAGGAAACTAATTTCTATATTAACACTTTATAACACAATGTTATTCTTGGCCATGATAGTATTTCCAGCACAGTGCTTCACACTGGAGGCACTCAATAAATAGTTATTGAGTACATTAATGAAGGGATTTTTTTTTTCCCTAAGAAGTGTGTCTTTAGAATACCAGAACACACTTTTGATGTAATTAACTGAAAATCAAACACAAATTGATTTATAGTAGAAAGAAAAGGAGAGAGAGAGAGCTCTTAAAACCAATCAGTCTGAGATGGGGCTAGCTTCTGGTGACACTTGACCTAGGACTCAAATAAGGACGCGATTCTTAATCTGCACTTCTCAACTATAATCCCTCAGTGTAGGCTCCATTTCCAATGAGATTCCTCCTTGTTCAGTACAGGAATCAGAAACCACTGTACACATGTCAAACAAAAAGATTTGGGAGGAAATTAACACATAATTGTTAGAATGAACGGCAGAATGGAAATCAGGAGACCTTCACGGCAGCTGCCATCCAAAGTTGAGGACCATGTAACAGCCACTGCTTCTGCTACTGCTGCCCCCATACCCTTGGAGAATTGACAAGGCACTTGTAGTCCAGCTCTTGCAAACACTCCTGGGTATGGGAACTTGCTTGTCAGCTTATCCTGCCAAGAGGGATGGCAGGATACTTACTCATCCTCACTTCCATCTTCTAAATCTTGTAGCATTGCTCACCAGTCATTGGCAGAATTCCAACTATGTCCGTAACTTCAACTTCATGGAAATTTGGAAAATAGGTTTTTAACCTTCTATATGTTATAATCCAGGAGATGAGGAAACAGAAAGGAATACCACATTTTGCCATGTATACTGTGCACCCATGTTTTTGGCCCAAACTTTCAGGAAAAATAACCTTTTGTTTTAATTTTTGATTCAATTATTTATTTATTTATATTTAGATACTCGTTTTTTGTAATATAAAAGAATTTTAGCATTTGTTTTTTAACATTACGGCACAAGAAATTCTATATAACACAATTACAAAACACAAGCACAGATACAAGGTATTTCAGGTACTAATCATTTATAATGTGCATCCTCATTTTCCCCTAAAAATGTTGGGCAAAAGGTACTCATTATACACGGCAAAATACAGTAAATAGAAGCTAAATAAAAATTAACAATATCTAGTACAGTACATTCCTTCTACCAATAATCTTTGAAGCAAACAGCAAGAGTACAGTCCCACCTAACTCATTCCCTCCTTCAAATGAAAGTGTGCGCATCCTATCCTTTAAATCTTTATACCCATTGCTCTGTGATGTTCCTTTCCCTTCGGTTTTAGTCACAATCCCACTTTAAGACATTCATATACAGACTACCTCATAAAATTAACTACCAGAAGCAAATGTCATATAAAAGGAAAAGGGGAAGTAATTAAAAGAAGTTCATTAATACATGCAAAAGCAAAGCAAGTATAAAAAAAATCCATAGCTTCTATGGTCCTTTATTGTGCAACTGGTCATGAGACCATAGTTGGTGTTTATAGCTTCCCTATTCATCTGTTCCCTTTGCCCTCAGGAGTCTCCCCAGCTAGTAGGATGATACAAGCGAACAATCCTGAAGGACCTAAAGGTCCTTCACAGTCCTGCTTGTGTTGGACGGCTTTAGACTTCCATTAACATTTATCGTTGAAAACGGAATTGCTAGAAGGAACCCCAGAGAAATACCTGACTTGAAGACATACTCCCCCTGACTCCATTGTGTGGCTGCATCACTATTTCCCCTTGGCAACTCCTGTCAACCTGCCCAGCCAGTTCAGCAGTTCCCTTATTTTGTTGATGACTTAATGGCATGATGAGCCTGCAATCTCCAGAAACAGTTTCAAGTTCCTGTGCAAGGAATTCTGTGTCCTGTAGTGGAAACAGAGACTAACATCATAGGAGCAGGAAGCACTTACTTTGCAAGTGCTGATAAGGTTTACCTGTGGGAGACCACCCTTTAACTTCTCCTGTTCCCCAGCCTCATATATTATGGCCATGGGAAAAAAACAGCCACTTGGTTTAGAGCATATGCTGCACTTGAAGGACGGTGTACCAAGCTTCCTACCTGGGCTGTAACTGAGTCTTCACTACTCCATCCCACTGTCCTGTAAGGCCAGCTGCTTTTGGGTGATGAGGTTCATAATAAAGCCATTGAACTCCGTGGTAGTCAGTGTACTGCCTCACTTCTTTTTCTGTAAAATGGGTTCATTAGTGAGGGATACCATGATGGTGATCAGGTACTCAGAATGTCCAACAATGATGTTGCTGGCAGAAGCATTGCAGGGAGAAAAAGCCAATTTGTATTTGAAATAAATGTTTACTCCACAAGTACCTGCCCATTCCATGACAGAAGGGCTCCCTGCAAGCAGTCTGCCGCAAAGCAGCTGGCTGGTCTCCCTCGGAGCATGGGAATCCACACTGAGGGGTCGGGGTTGGATTCCGTGGTTGGCCAGTTGGGCGCTCAGCAGCCAAAACAGCGTTGGTGGAAGATTCCATGTTGATGAACTCACACATATCATGCATCCCAGTTGCCACATACTCTTCATTCGTTTTGAACAAGCACTTGGGGGGGAGCGGACTGTCATCCAAGGAAGTCTTCTTGCCCACCTGCTTCTCAAAATCCTCTAGGAAATGGGTGCTTTTTGGTGAACATTCACAAGGGAACCCAATATGCTCAAACTCTGTGTTCAGAGCTACAAGGAAGATGTTGTTTATAGCCAGTGATACCCTGCAGTTATTGGGGGTGGTGGGGGCGCTGTAGAAGAGAAGTGGAAAACTCCTCCTAGAGCCAATGCCGGATATGTAATGTACACTTGAGGTCCGTTTTGGGGCCACTTCTCTCCTTGACCTTAGCTAAGATGCTGATGGTACAGACTCCTGGTTTTAATTCTAGCTCCTCTGCTTAGCAGCTGTGATTACTTAACTTCTCTGTGTCTCAAACCTCAGCTTTCTCATCTGTTAAATGGGCATAACCATGGCACGTATGTTGCCGTATTGTTTTGGAGTAAGTTCTCAGTACTCCTCAATCACTTGCCAATGAGCCAGTATTGCTCTGGGAATGTGTCATAATCCATCAGGTGATGATTTTTTTTTTTATAAAACGAGGACTACTGGTAAGGGCTTGGGTAGTAAACTCCATGAGGTCCCGCGGGGAGCAGGTGGCTCTCCTAACTGCAGAACTGGCTGGTCCTGTGTATAGCGGCTGGCAAGTATCTGTTCAACAAGCGGATGGATGGATGCAAACAGAAAAAGGAAGATTATGCCCCCAGGCCTCTTCATCCCCAGCCTTGTAAATGTGAGGAGAAAAGGGAAGGAGTGCTTTTGTTTAGGGCCCAGATCTTGAATGCTGTCCTTGCCACTTCTAAGGCCCAAGGCTCTGGATGAGGTGATTTACTGTTTCTTCTATTGCAAATGGAGCCATAATATCCACCCCCACCCCAAATGTTTGCGTGGAAGAGGGGATGAGATGGGTCTATCCCTGAGCCTAGTGCAGCGAGCGGCCGGCACGCCGCGCCCGGGCGCCCGCACACCTCCGTGGCCTCCCCGCCTCTTGCGGATTCTTCACTGCACGGGCCGGTGACAGCCAGCAGAAGCCGCTGCGAGGTGGCCGGGGCGGGAACACGCCCAGCGCGGAGGCAGCACGTGAGCGCCCGGCCAGGCGCGCCCTGCCTTTAGCGCGGGCTCCTGGAGAAGGCGCCGGTTTCCCGCGGTCCGAGAGCGTGTGACGAAGTGTGCGGGAGAGGGCCGGGCGGTCGCCGCGGAAGGCGGAGTCCGCGGGGAAAACGAAACCGAGAGCGAGCTACCCACACTCGGCTGGGCTTCGCGGACCGTGGCGTCGAGAGGTGAGCGGGACGGACCGTACGGGAGAGCGCGCGGGGGTGGGGGGCGCCACCGACGCGGGGAGGGACGGCGATCCGGGGGGCGCCCAGGCGCGCGCAGGCTCCGGAGGTGGGCGCTGGTGAGAGGCTCCTGACCCCGGGTCTCGCCGCACCGCGGGGCGCCGACGCAGGCCAGCAGCCGAGGTGCGGGGCCCTTCCCGGATCCGCGCGGCGCGCTAAGAGCTGAAAGCCATTTTCTTCCCGTGAAGGATTTTTATCAGAGCAAGTACCCACCAGGCCCCGGCCGCGGTTGGGGTGCGGGGATCTAGTGGAAAACAGGACCTGCGACTTGACAGAGAGATGGGAAATATATAGCCCTGAATGCCCCATACATTTGGCTCAATAATCCCTAGCCAAAAATCTTTTGCACAGTTACAGTTATTTCCCAATTGCCCGGCCTTAGCCGCTGCCCCAACTCCGTCCCCACCCCCACCGCCCACCATCTCTGCCGTATACCCCCTTCTCAAGGCCGCATATGGGCCCACAGGCAGGGCCTCCTGCGCCCTCCTCTGTTCTCACGCTCACCACACAGCTGTTCTTGGGACCTAGCCACGCGCGCACGCCTGCCTCTGGGCCTTTGCACTGCCTGGTTCTTCTTCCTGGAAAGCTCTTCCCCCAGGTCCCTGGTTCGGCCAATCCCTGTCTTTCCCCAACATTTCTTGAATGCCGCTTTGCTAGGGCAGCCTCCCTGACCAACCTGCATGTAAACGGAAGTCCAGCTTCCTTCACTGTCCCCCTCGCTCTGCTTCAGCTTTCAACATAGTGCTTATGTCACCTTGTGGCATGTTCTGTGGTTTTTGTCCGTGTTCCTCCGCTCCTAACTTCACCAGAGCAGGGTTTTGTTCACTGGTATAACCCCAGCACCTAGTACATAGTAGGTGCTCATAAAAGAGTTGTTTAGTCAATGGTTATTCATAAATTCTCATTCAAATTCCAGAATAATGAGAGTTCCTATTGCCCGTGATTTCTTTAGTACTAAAAATGACTTGCCAGACAGAAATTAAAAGGTACACTCTCTGCTGTCACTCAGAAACTCAGATGCTTGGGCAGACTGTGCTCTTTTTCTTCAGTGTGCTTATTTGAACCTGAAGATCCATGACACTTGACCTGTAGTTCATTTAATTCATCAGATACTACTTGCATGAATGTTGCACGTGACTTTTGTGCAGGCCCTGGAGAGGACTGGGCCCTCAGGAGCTCACTGTCTGTCCCCCCAGACGGCAGACAGAACGGGATTGAGAGGCACAGCCAACCGTGCTTCTGGGTATGAGTAAGACGGGCATATAACAGCTGTTAGTGATTATGGTCCTGATTTCTTTTAGGAAAATAATGCCTGTATTAAAACAAGATTTATTAAAATTAGTTAAAAAGAAACCTGCTGTTTCTTTTTTTTCTCCCCAAACTTGTAAGTACTTCTTCAGACATGTCAGTTTGGCATCTTACAAGTTCACGCATGCATTTAACTCAAACTGGCTTGTCGTTCTGATGATTAGCAGTCACTCAGAGTTAAAAGCGCTGAGGATTTAAAGCACTAGATAGGACTTCTGGTTGAGTAACTGGTAAGGACTCTTTCATTACTGCTCTTCTGAGATCTGTGACCCTCTCCAACTTGATGTAGGGTCTTCTGGCTGCGACTAAACTAAATGACGCTTGGGTTCATGAAAATAATGGTATATCTGCAGATCCTCATTCTGAACCGTTAGGCCAGGTGTGTTCTGGGTTTGAGAGATTTTGGATTTTAGAAAGGCCATGCAGCATAAACTCTCTATTATGTAATACTCTGAGCAGGATTTGGGAACAGCATTCTATAATAAAGCATATTTTTGCAGTCAAATGATAAATAGGCAACAAAGTATAATAAAGACTCCAAATAGCTCATGTCAGTCTAGGTCTAGATGGGGGGCTACAAATCTACTAAAAACAAAACAATTGAAAACAAAATAAACCTTAGATTGGGTTTTGGAATTGCGAACCAGAAGAGCCATTGATTGAGGACCACTGGTGCTGGGGACTCTGGCGGGTGCTTTTTGTCCGACTGACTTTTCATGGCAACCTGTGAATCAGGTATTTCCAAGTCATGAATCAGAGGTTCAGAGGTTCAGAGAGGTGTCTAGCCCAGATCTCTGTGGCTTTCAAAGTCTAACTCCCCCTGCTGCACTGAGCAATAACGTGAAGGTTGGCTTTCGTTGAGACATAGGCACTTCCAGTGCCCTGCCTCCGGCCACCACCGTTGCTCACCCAGACCAGCGCAGCAGTCTCTGTGTGGCCTCCCCACGTTTCATGTTCCACTTCCCTTTCCATTCCGACCCCCACCCCTCTGCTCTCTACATAGTATCGGAGTGATCTTTCGAAACACAAGTCCAATCACATCACCCCTCTGTTAGAACCCTCCAATAGCTACCTATTACCATAGGAAGAACAGCCTCAGCCCTACAGTGCCTATGTGCTGCGGCGCCTGCTCGCCCCTTGCGTTGCTTTCCTGCCCTTACCCCTCGTTCACTGTTGGAGCAGCCCCCTTGGCCTTCTGTTATCCCTCCCGAGTCTGTACAGGTTCCTGTCGCAGGGATTCCTCTGCCGGAGATACCCCTCCCCATATCTGGATAAGTGGACTTTCTCATCATTCAGACTTGATTTGACTGTTGTCTCCAGAGAAGGGTCTTTCTTGACTACGGTATTTAAAGTTACCTCCCTCATATTTCTGCCCCCATCTACCAATCCACTCTCTATCCCGTACCCCTGGTTCATTTCATCGTAGCACTTGTGGCCGTCCGGTCATCATTATCCACTCCTGTTATTTGTGTCTGCACATGGTCATTTTATTTCTTCCTTCAGTGGAATGCAGGCAGGGACTTGTTCTGACTTCTTCGTGCCTGTATATACAGTGTCAGAACAGTGCTTGACAATTGATAAGCATTTACTGAGTGAATGAAGACGCCAGAAAACAGCAGGTGAATAAAAGGGAGAAGATGAGGAGGTTTACAGTGAAGTATTTAATTTTAATGAATCATTCTTTCTCCAACTGTACACCATCTGAGGGTTTCAGCATTTACTACTTGCCACTGGGTGTTGGTGATAATGAAAACGAATGAGATGTACCTAGAACCTTCTCCCCCAAGAGCTCACTGACTAGTTTAAAAGCATTCAGGGCTGTGATGGGAGCTGCGCACCAGAGGCTGTGTTGATCCTCGCACATGAATGAGAATTGCCTGGTTGATAGAGGTTGCAGATGTTGCATTTCAAGACCTGGAGTTATTTTTGTATTCATTCATTCATTATTGAGCTCCTCTTATAGGCCTGGACCCTTCCTTGGTGGAGTTAGTCGTCTCTTTTGGAAGACAGTTAAGTAAGCAATTGCAATAACAGGAACAAGGGCTGTGATAGAGTGCCAAATCAGGGCCTCTTCTCGGGTGTCTGAAATGACATTTGAGCTGAGATCTACAGGAAGGGGTGGGGTTCAATGGGCAAAGGCAGTAGCAGGAGTAGAGTCGAGACCATTTCAGGAGGGAGCATGTTGGACAAAAGCAGTTGGAAGTCAGGAAACAGCCAGTGCTCAAGGCATACTTTTGAGCATCCTCACTTATAGGTGGAATTTAAAGCCACAAGCCCGGAGGTGATGACCAAGTGAATGTAAGTAGAACAGAGAGGAGATCTAAGGACTGGGTCCTGGGACATGACAATATTTAGGAGAAAGGAAAAACAAGGAAAGGAGACAGAGAAGCAGCAGCTTATGAAAAAAGAAGGAAACCCAAGAGAATGTAGTGTCCTAGAAATCCAAGCGAAGAAAGGGGCAGGAGGGAGAAGGGAATGAGCAGCCACCGCAAATGCTGCTTTCAGGTTAACTGGGTAAGGATTGAGAACCAACTACTAGTTTTAGAGATGGGGAAAGCATTGGTAACCTTGACAACAGTTCTGGTGGCTGTGGGGACTGCATGATTGGATTGATGTTTTAAAAGATCATGATGCGGCTACTATGAAAAAAATGGAAAATGACAAGTGTTGGTGAAGATGTGGAGAAATTGGAAAACTTGTGCATTGCTGGTGGAAATATAATATGGTGCAGCTGCTGTGGAAAACAATTTGGTGATTCCTCAAAATATTAAACATAGAATTACCATGTGATTTTGCCCTGGCTGGTATGGCTCAGTGGATTGAGTGCCAGCCTGTGAACCAAAGGAAGGTTGGTTCGATTCCCGGTCAGGGCACTTGCCTGGGTTGCCGGCCAGGTCCCCAGTAGGGGACACTCGAGAGGCAACCACACATTGATGTTTCTCTCCCTCTCTTTCTCCCTCCCTTCCCCTCTGTCTAAAAATAAACAAAATCTTTAAAAAAAAAAGAATTACCATATGACTTAGCATTTCACTTCTAGGTATATTCCCAAAATATCTGAAAGTAGGGACTTGAACAGATATTTGTATACCAATGTTCATAGCAGTATTATTCACACTAGCCAAAAAGTTGAAACAATGCAAGATGAATGGGTCAACAAAATATGGTACTGTAAATACATATAATGGAATATTATTCAGCCTTAGAAAGAAAGGAAATTCTGACACGTGCTACAACATGGATGAACCTTGAAGACATTATGCTAAGTGAAATAACCAGACACAAAAAGACAAAAGTTGTGTGATACAACTCATAATAAGGTACCTAGAATAGGTAAATTCATAGAGATGGAAATTATTGTTGGTTACCAGAGGATGAGAGGATAGGGAATTGGGAAGTTACTGTTTCATGAGCCCAGACTTTCTGTTTGGGAAGATGAAAGGAGTTCCAGTGATAGATGACAATGATGGCTGAGTCATATTGTATTCACAATATGACAGTATTGTGAATGTGCTTGGTAACTGTGAACTGTACTCTTAAAAATCATTAAAAGGGTAAATTTCATGTTATGTACATTTTACCACAATGAAAAGAAAAGTGAAAAGAAAATCACAATGACTTCAGGGTGAAGAAGGAATTTCAATGGCTGTGAGGAGCTGGTTCTGAGGTTCTTGCAGCAGTCAGGAGTGAGGTGGAGGTGGCTCGAACCAGAATAGTGGCTATGACATCGTGGAGAAGTAGAAGGATTTGTTATGCATAAAAAAGGAGGGAAAGGAAATGCCATCGATGACTCCCAGATCCATGGCTTTCAGACATGGACAGGTAGTAGAATCATCTTCGGAGACTCCAAACCAGCTTAAGGGAAGATCATGAATGCAGTTTTGGATCTTGTGCATTTAAAATTCTTTCAAGGCATTCCAGTGGGGATGGTGGATAAAGCTGACATTCAGAGAGAGGTTCATAAGGGATATGAAATCTTAGAGCTAATGAGAAGTAGATGGTCATTTGATTATTGAAATCATGGGCATGAAAGAAATCACCTTAAGGAGAAAGTATAGAGAATAGGGTGTTTGGACTCCAGCATTTAGAGCCTGTGAAGATTAAGAAGTGTTAGGAAGAAAGATTGGCCATGGAAGAAAAGTCAAAAGAGCTTTCCAACAAGGAGCAAAAGGTCAACAAGCTCTGCTCACTGTCTCTATGGATTTTCCTATTCTGGATGTTTCATATAAAGAGAATCATACAATATGTGACATTTTGTGCCTAGCCTCTTTCATTTAGCATGTTTTCAGGGTTTATCTATGTTGTATCATGTTTCTACACTTCATGATTTTTTTTTTTTATAGCTGAATAAGATTCCATGTGTGAATATACTGCATTTTGTTAATGATTCATCAGTTGATGGGCATCAGATTTGTTTCCACTTTTTGGCTATTGTGACTAGTGCTTCTATGAACATTCCTGTATAAGTATTTGTTTGAAAGCCTGTTTTTCAGTTTCTTGGATATAGGCCTAGGAGTGGAATTGCTGGGTTTTATGGTAACCCTAAGTTTAACTTTTTAAGGAAATAATCAAATTCTTTTCCATAGAAGTTGCACAGTTTTGCATTCCCAGCAGCAAAGCAGGAAGGTTCCAATTTCTCTACATCCTCATCAACACGCTTATTTTCTGTGTTATTATTACTATTTCTGTTGCCGCTCTTGTGGGTGTGAAGTGGTATCTAGTTGGGGTTTTGTTTTGCATTTCTCTAATGACTAATAATGTTGAGCATCTTTTTACATGCTTGTTGCAACCTCTGTATCTTCTTTAGAGAATGTCTGTTTCAGTTTTTTGCCTACTTTTTAACTGGGTTGTTATTTTGTTGTTGAGTTATGAGTTCTTTATGTATTCTAGATAGTAGACCCATATCATATATATGACTTGTAACTATCCCATTCTATAGATTGTCTTTTTATTTTTGTCACAGTGTCCTTTGGAACAGAAAAGTTTTTAATTTTGAGGAAGCCAAATTTATCTACTTTCTTTTGTTGCTTGTATTTTTGTTGTCATGGCAAAGACTCCATTGCCAAATACAAGGTTAGGAAGATGTACCCTTATGTTTTTTTCTAAGAGTTTTATAGTTTTGCCTCTTATATTTAGATTCTACTTCCTTTAGATTTTGCTCACTGTTTAAATCATTGCTACTGAATTAGTCCACTGCATCCCATAAATGGGGGTCATAATTTACCTAGGTAAATTATCAGGAAGATAATTCAAACCCATATACCTAGGTAAATTATCCAAACATGGATTTCTATAAATTTCAAAGGGAGGATTTGTGGAATTTCAGAGGAGACTCTATTTCCATATAGCTAAATCCTTCATGATTTCCTAAACTTCACTTTATGTATGTAACCTCAGCCTTTTCCTTCTCAACATAAAAAATTCTAATTCTACTTCTGCAGTCTTTCACCTTCTCAAGCAGGTGGAAAAACTTGCACTTGACACTCAGTGGAAGCAGAGGGCCGAGTTAAAGAGACAGACCTCTTCCTTTTCTGGCCAGCTGAGTTTTGAAGGTAGAAAATTTTGGAGAAATTAGCTTGATTGTGCAGTCCATGAGGAGGAAAGATTTTTAAAGACAGTTTTCTCTGGATTTATATATGGCTGAGATGAATCATATAAAGGAAATTCTTACCCCATTTTGTTACCTGAACTGGACTGGGAAAATCTGATTAAATATATTCTGTGAGTGTCACTTCTTTCAAACGTCACTTGTATTATAGATTACGAGGAGAAGAAATGGCCGATAGTCATACACGAAGTTTCTTCATAGAAGCACTTCATAAATACAGTCAAAAGAACAACGTAAAAGTTAACTATCGTGAACTGTCTAGGACAGGACCTCCACATGACTCAAGGTAAGATGCTATTTTAAAAAGGATTTATACCCATAAAAAACTAGGGGAATGGCAAGTCTGGCACAATTTTAAAGTCAATGCTTTAGAGAAAAGTTGCCACAGAGTTCTGTGAGAGAGTCCTTTTGGTATAAAATTGTAACTTCAGAGGACTCTGGAGAAAAAAGAGGATATAAGCTTTCCGATGCTTCAAGATGATGTGCTATTATGCTGTTTGGAGATGACTGCCTAAGTTCTATATTGAACGTAGGTCAAAACCTTCAAAAGTAGTCTTAAGAGGCAGTGGTGATTCGAATCCTTGTCTCTAGATAATGCACGTATTAATAATATTTTGTGAATTTTTTTTTTTTTTTTGGTAATCAGGTTTACGTTTCAAGTTATAATAGATGAGGAAGAATATCCAGAAGCTGAAGGTAAATCAAAGAAGGAAGCAAGAGATGCTGCAGCCAAATTAGCTTTGGAAAAACTTCAAACAAAAGGGGTGAGTAAATGCCTTTTTTTTCTCCAGCTGAAAAGAGACTCACAATATAGTTCATATTTTTCTCTGTGAGAAAATTCTGACATACGGAATAAAGCCATTCACAGGTTCCTTTACATTCACAAGTTCAGTTCAGTCTTTTTCCCCGTCTCCATTTCTGTAGAACCCTGAATGAGAGGTACACCTAGGAAATAGTAGGCAAAGCTGGATAATACCTGTTTAGAGTGCCGATAGCAGTGACATACCTTAAAACTGAATGGACGTGAAAAGGAAACAGTGAGGAATGAGCTGACTGGTATTGGCAGGAGTCCCTCCACCAAATGGAAGGAATTGGTGGAAATGGATAAAGACATGAAAGGGATTGTGAGGAAAAGGATGTATATGGAGGGCAGGTAATGGAGAACCAACATATGTATAATTGGTATCCCTGAAGATGAGAATAGAGTAACTAGTAGACAAAAAGCTATCTGAGGAGATTTTAGTAGAAAATGCTGCAAATACGGGAAAATACAGAACTATCAAGAGCAACTTCAAACATTGTGAAAGTACTGAACTCTAGTGATAAGGAAAGAATCATCAAGCATCTAGGCAGAAGAAAGAAATTATGTGAAATATAAAAATGAAAAAAACTATTATGCTATGTACAGCAACACTGAAAACCAGGAGACAGAGAGCAGCAGCTGTAAAATGAGACAAGAAATAATTTAAATGTGGGACAAAAGATGATCATTCTCAGATATTGCGATATTTGGAAAATTTTAGCTTTCAGGATATTTTCCTGAAAAATCTTATTTGAAGATGTTATCCTTCTAACCGTAATTGATAAAATAAATCAGACAAAATCACAAACTCGTAAATTGTTAATGAGCTAGAAAACCAAGTCAAGAAGTTAGAAAAAGAACAAAGATTTAACTCTTTTATTTTCCCCAAAAATAGTAGAAGAAAGAAAATGACAGAAATAAGGACAGAAATTAATGTAAAAGAAAACAAAGAAATAATAAAGATCAGTACAACATAAAGTTAGTTGTTTAAACAAGATTATAAAAGTAGCAAAACTTTAGATAAGATTTTGTCAGATTAAGAACAAAAGAAAGTACAGATAACAATGGAAGGATTACTTTTAATATATTCATCTTTCCCATTAAGTTGTCATCAAGGGTATAGCTTTAGTTCAATATTTATATTGTTTTTTGAGATTTATAAAGGGTACAGCAAACTAGAAAATGTTATAGTTTCTTGCTTGGAAAAACAGAAAATTGATACTTTTTTTTCCATATGAAACTATAAAAGGAAAATGGGTGATTCCCATTGTTAAAATTTATCCTTATGGGATTCTTCTGGTAGAGAAAAGTACTGTAATTTTCCATGTCTAATGTGCACTTTTTTGCCCACATTTTTGAGAGAAAATTAAGGATGTGCAATGTATATACGTGTAATGGTTACATACCATGGGCATAATAATCCCATCTAATAATGTGCACAAAAAAAGTGGGTGCGCATTATACACAGCAGTGCATTATACATGGCAAAATACCGTATATAGTTACACTTGGATTCAAAGTAATATAGTAGGGAAATACATAAAATCTAAACTGTTTTTCAAATGATTCACTTAGTAATTTCATTAGAAAAATAAAATACAAAGTTAAATCTTTGCTGTCATCCATATTAAACAAGATTTTTTTTTCCAGGAAGTTAGTTCGTCATTTTTGACAACAGATTCTTTGGATGATTTATCCGTGGGGAATTACGTAGGCCAACTTAATAGGCTTAGCCAAAAGACAAAACTACCTGTAAATTATCATGAATCGTTCACGAATGGGCCTGAAAGGTGAGATGTAGTTTCCTTCTGCTTCATTGTATCTAAGCAATAGAATGGACTTATTTTCATGTCTAATTTTTCAGAAATATTCATTCTTTTTGTACATTCTGCATGGAAGATTTTATAGGACTTTTAAGCAATCGGACATCTTTGTAATCAAAATATTAAAATACTTCATTGCTGAAGGCTTACAACCCATATATCATAACTGATCAAATCTAGGTAATCTGGATGGTTTAATGTTCAGGACGCCTAAGAGAGTCTGAGGTGTTCTGCTTGAAGGATGGGGCGATCTCTCCAGCCCTGAGGTCTCAGTGGGAGTGGGTGTGTGGAGATGGCTCCGCCACTCGTGTAGAATAACTCTCTTTCCACCATTGTCAGATTAGAGAGCTGTCTGTCCAGGTGTTCATCTTTCAAATTAGATTAAATGGTGTCACTCTGCAGACAGATATCGTGTATTAGAAGGAATGGTATTTTGCCCTGGACTATGAGGAGACTGGAATTTGAGGAAATGATGAGATGGACAGACTAGAGTTTCAGTTACTGAGAATGTCACCAGTGAGCTAAGACTTGAAAGTGGGGATAAAGAATGGATTGGAACTGAGAAAAAACAAAACAACGAGCATGAAGGAGATTGTTTCTCATCTATAACCAACCAATTAAATGAGGGAGAAGAAAGAAAAATCAAAATGTAAATAGTCCGAACAATCACTTTAGGATTCTGCCCTCTGAACTGATGAAGCTATTTACGTTTGACTTTTTACTCTGATGGCTTTTAGGCCAGACCTAGGAAGAGAAAAATGTGAGTGTTGCCTTTATGCCAGATCTTTGAATGAAGCAACAAAATGTTAGAAGCTGCCTAGAAAATGCAAGCTGAGATGGCAGCCAATCCTGGTACTCTGGCAAATCGGTCAGCCATCTTATTGAAAACCTAAATTATACAAAGACATGAAATACGAATTGACCTATTACATTCGTGTAATAATAAGGCTTTTGTTGACGTGTGTTTTTTTCAAACCCTATTTACTATTTTTTGGTATTTAGGTAAATACTCCCCATTACTTTTCCTAGATTTTCTTGTAAGTGCCTAATTGGAGAGAAAGAATACAGCAGTGCTGTAGGTTCTACTAAACAGAAGGCAAAACAATTGGCTGCTAAACTTGCCCATGAGAAGATACTGGCAGAAAATGACTTAATGGTATGTACTGCCTTTGGATTTATTTTTTGTATTTTAAAATTCCCCTGAAACGGCTTTGAGGTTTGACTGTGTCTACATGATGCCGAGATAGCCCGTCACACAGAAAAAGGGTTCCTCGGTTCTTGGTCCCACCAGTGAACATGCATTCATTTCATAATTGTTTATGGCTTTGAATTTGGTAAATGTTAGGAAATAAATGTGATAAATAGCACACAGAGACTGAGCCGCCGTGGAGAAGTCATTTAGTTGCATTTGAACCTTCTCAGGGACTCTCTTTCTTTCAGAAAGATGATTCAGTTCTCCTTAACTCTCCCCCGGCTGGGTCCAGTGGCTATGAGGGCAGCTCTTCGATGACTTGGTAAGTGTGTACAGACAGCTGTGATATTTAAGAAATCCAAATTTCTGCCTGAAAAAGCAAATTTTTATGAAAATGTTTAATTTTTAAGGAGAAGTTAGAGAATGAAATTACTTATCAACAAAAAATAGAATTCATAAACTAATAGTAACTCCCTTTTCTTCTAGTGGTACTGAATCACCGTCTGAAAATGGCTTTTCAGCAAGTGGATCAGACAGAAGTAATAACAGTGACAGTTTTATGAATACTCCTTTGTCTTCTCAGGTATAGTATTCGTCTCTCAATTTCCTAGTTAATCTTATTCCCTTTTGTGCTTCCTCATTTAAAAACGACCTTCAGTAATTTTTCTATTTTTATCTCACTAAACGATAATATTTAGCAGCCTTTGACTCTCTCCTTTCTTTATTAATCCACATCCCTCACATGCAGAATTCTCCCACTTGTCAGTCCCATCTTTCTCTCCCTACTAACCTTCATATTTTCATATATTCCTATGATCTTGCTTCTTATCTTCCACCAACTGCACAGTATTTAAAGGATTCATTAATATAACTCTGCTTCTGTTTTAAAACAATCAGAAATAAATTTAAATAAACACTAAACTTAAAAATCAGATAGTTTTTATGGTGATCATGTTACAAAAGTATTCTATTTATAAAGAACTACAAATCAATAAGAAAAATACAGGCAACTCAGTAGAAAAATGTGCAAATGATCTGCACACACAATTCAGAGAAGAGATACCTATATGGGCAAAAAACATGAGAAGATGCTTTTCTTCACAGTAATCAGGAAAACGCAGATCAAAACAACAGATACTATTTTAAACCCATCAGATTAGCAAAATTTGAGTCTGACAGTACTAAGTGTTGACACATCTGTGTTCCAGTTATAACTGTTATACACTGCTGGTGGAACTATATAAATCAGTACAACCGTTTTGAAGAACAATTTGGGAAAGTGCAGTAAAGTTGAGGGTGTGCATGCTGTAATGCCAAGGAGTTCCCTTCCTAAGGATTTCTCCTAGGGAAACACTTGCATATGTGCACAGAAAAATAGGTATATGAATGTTCTTTACAGCCCTGGCTAGTGTGGCTTAGTTGGTTGGAGCATTGTCCCATAGACTGAAGAGTTGTGGCCTCAGTTCCCAGTCAGGACACATACCTGTGGTGCAGGTTCAATTCCCAGTTGGGGCGTGTATGAGAAGCCAGCCAATCAATGCTTCTCTCTCACATTGATGTTTTTCTTTCTCTCTCTCGGCCCCCCTCTTTCTCCTCTCTCTGAAAGCAATGAAAAAGAAATGTTCTCGGGTGAAGATTTAAAAAAAAAAGAATGTTCTTTGTAACATTGTTTGTAATATGAAGAAATTAGAAAAATTATTGCTTATTAACAGGATGGCTAAATTACTCTGTAGTGTAGTCATCATGCAATACTGAGGCTGGAAGGTGATGAGTACAAGAAATCTTGGTCTGATACTCCCCACTCTGTATCACTATATTTAAATTGGTTTAAAAAATCCACAAAATCTACCAGGATAAAAGTATAAGTGAAAAAAAGCTATGTGACATTAATTTTTAAGATATATATATATTGAAGACTTTGCTTTTTTGCTAAATATTGAAGTTATTAATTTGTCCTAAAAGTGAAAATATCAGCATTGTAGTTTTTAACTGGTGATCAAATCAGAAACCCTTGGGAAACTATTTTAAAGTAGATCCCTGAGCTTGACCTATGTCTTCATTAACACTGTGAATGATTGGATGCACACCTTCCTTCTGAGCTCTGCTGGCTGGAGGGTCAGCAGGGAAGCCACGTTCTGTACCCAGAGAATCGATGCTTCTTCAGAACATGCCTTACACTTGCCTTTTATGTCCTTCCTACCGTATCTGTCTGGTTGCTGTAATGGAAGAGAACATTGATATCACTAAGTAAAGTGGGAAGCGCTTGATAAGAGCACAAAAATTGATGAAGCTGTTAATCTTATGGACAAAGAAATGTGGTCATAAAACTAGCCAGAAGTACAAGAGGAAGGATAGCAAGAAAAGGCAATAGAATTGACTTAATCATCTGAAACAATTTTCCATTTTCTTTTGTTATAGAACCGTTTCAGAAGTAGTTTGGGGAAGGTAAAAAGGTGAGTATCATTATGCATTGAATGTACTTGGAAATAACATTTTCTTTCAAACTTAGTTTGTCAATCTTATTTCTTAAGTCTTCAGTATTTGTAGCAGGGGTGTCCAGTTTATGGCCCATGGGTTGCATGCGGCCCAGAGCTATGAATGCAGTGCAACTCAAAATCGTAAATTTACTTAAAGCCTTTCTTTTGCTCATCAGTTTTCACTGGTATTTGTGTATTTAATGTGTGGCCCAAGACAACTCTTCTTCTTCCAGAGATACCAAAAGGTTGGGCACCCCATACACCCTCATTTGAGTAGAGTTTTAAAAGTAAGAGCATGGTTAAGGATCACAAAAAGCTTGAAATCTCCAAGCAAGTAATTTTAAACATGTAGAGAAATCTTTGCACATGCTACACTGTAGACAAAAAGGCCTTTGGGGATGTTGCTAGTGCAATTGGTTAAGGGCATTATTTTAGAAGTGGGCTTGGAGAGGTGTTTTTTTTAAGAGAAGAGCATTCTTTTGCAGATAAACAGGTATAAATGGTATAATAACTTGGGTAAGAAATCAAAAGGACAAATGTTATGAAATGTTGACTCAAAATATAAAAAGCCTAGTGCATGGCCTCAGTCTACTCTAAACAAGTTATATTTGCTTTCAGTTTTATTTGACTTTTACATTCTTCTCTTAATTTTTAGATTCTTGGCACCTAATTTTGACTCTCCTTGCACAGTAGGAAATGATCATACTATGAATGAGAGGTAAGTGAGAACTGTAAAATAAAATTTGATCCACTCTGGCTGGGTGGCTCAGTTAGTTGGAGTGTCGTCCCATGCACCAAAAGGCTGTGGGTTTGATTCCTTGTCAGGATACGTACCTAGGCTGTGGGTTCAATCTCAGGTTAGGGTGTGCATGAAAGGCAACTGAATGATGTTTGCCTCTCTCTCCCTTTCTCTCTAAAATCAATAAACATGAACATATCCTGGGGTGAGGAATAAAAAAAAATTGCTCAAAGGTATATTTGTTTATTTAACAACAGTTTCATAAGGAACTGTTGTACATCAGACAGGTTGCATTATATTTCCATATGAACAGTTAAATAATTTAAGTACAGTCAGGTCCACAAAAGATCATTGTCTCTTAGAGAAGTAATGTAAGTTTATGTGGTGCTCATGTGTCATTCTTATGTGGACATTTTTAATATTAAAAGCAAATATTCCTATAAAGCAATGATTTAAAAAAAAAAAGAGTACTCCTGTGGGAATCAGAATAGAGCCACTCGAATCTGTTTTTCATTTTCCAAATTTCGCTTTGAAAAGGGGTTCTTCTTGTAGTAGATCATGTATTTGGGTTTAAATAAAATATCTAAATCAAAGGAGGCCTATTTGCAACCAAGGGACATTGAAAATAAGCTTTAAAAAACAATAAAGAATCAACAGATATTGCAGAAGTACCTAACATATTGCTGGCTCTGTTCTGGCCATTGACATTAGATCTATAGTAAGAATAAAGAGAACAGATCCTGCCTTCATAGAGTTTTGTGGGCATGAAACTTACATAAAAAGTCTATAACTATAAACTATGGTCAGGGTGCTGAAAGGCAAGGCAGGGAGGTGGGAGCACAGGAAGGTGGGAGGCTCTGGGGCTTTGCAAAGGCAGAGTCTGTGGGAAGGTGAAGACGAGACAGGTGGTGTGAGTGTTCAAGGAGCAGAGAGAAGGTTGTGTGCTTGGAGTGCAGTGGACACGGGCCCTGTGCCAGGGGACACGCTGGAGAGGGAGGTGGGGGCCAAATCACAAGGCCCCTTAGGGGCCATTTAAGGGCTTTCTGTTTTGTTGTTGTTGAATGCAAAGCTAGGCTATTGGCGGTTAGGCAATAGAAAGACATGATCAGACTAAATTTTTATCATACCAGTTGCTGTGCGGATCATGGATTGAAGCAGAAAAGGAGAGGAAGAGGAGTGTCTGGTTAGCAGGGTCCTGCAGGAGGCTGATGGAAGATGGGACTGATGTGAAGATGTCAGAGATGGGGAAAGTGGGCAGATTCCAGCCATATGTTTTAGAAGTAGAATTGGCAGGGCTTTGTGATGGAAGGCAGGGCCTACAGCGTAGGCAGGCCCAGAGCACCTGCTCATTTCTCTTACAACAGTTTGGTGGTAGCTGTGCAACACAATATGGTGCTTTTTCACGAAGTTTTATACTTGTGATAAGATTTTTACTCCTGGCTGTTGTACAGCCAGTAGTTGAATATGGCTCCCAGGGGTGAACTGTTACGTTGGGGGGACATGGAGGAGGGACTCTCCTTTGTGATTCAAGAGTCTCTGTAAAGTGGGCCCTTCTTATTCAGACGGGGAGAATCATGTTTGTTATATAGTCCATTTCACCAGGATCTTCGGGGCCAGTGGAAGGGATGAGGACCAGCTAGCGCTGAACCTTAGAATAACAGTGGCATTTATCTTTTAAGGTTTCTCAAGGAATTTTCTGAAATAACACCAATTGGCTCAGGTGCATACGGCAATGTTTTCAAAGCAAAACACAAACTTGATGGGAAGACTTATGTTGTTAAACGTGTTAAATATGATACAGAGTGAGTAGTAAATATTTCATTTTATTTTTGAACAAGAAGCTATGTTGAATTGCATTATTCTTTCTCACGTATGTTTCTTCTTCATTAGTATATTACTTACTTTTTCCAGTCCTCCTTAAAATAGTTATTCTACCTTCAGGGACTTGGCTTGCCCTGAAATGATCTTACTTTGCTGTGGTTAATTCAATAAAAAAAATGGATATACCATTGTTCATTCATTTAAGAATGTCTTGATAAAAACTGAAGTTACAGAATTATTTAGCTCAAGGTGACCTTTGAGATTTTCTAGTCTCATCCTCTTATCTTAAAAGTAAAGAGACTGAGATCCAAATATGTGAACTGATTTTTTGAAGGTAAAAATAGTTGGTAATTGTTCTGGTTGTCTATTATTGTATAATAATCATTCCAAAATGTAATGGCTTAAAAACAACAAGTTGTTATTATCTCTCATGGTCCCGTGTGTTGATTGTGTTCATCAAGGCCATTCTCACTGTGGGTCTGTCATGCATTTGCAGTAAGGAGTCTTCTGAAGGCTTGCCTGGGCCAGACATCCCAGATGGCCATGTCATATGACCAGCGATTGATGCTGGCTGTGGGCTGGAAGTTCAGCTGGGGCTGTTAACAAGAGTGTCTCTACGTGGCCTCTTCATGTGGTCTGGGATTCTCACAGCTTAGCGGCTGGTTTCCAAGAAAAAAATTGTCCCGAGAGCCAGTCATCCCAATAGAGAGCAGCAACAATTACTTTCGACCTAGTCTTGGAGGTTCCACATTGTTGGTTCAACAAAATCATGAAGGCCAGCTCAGATTCAAGGGAAGGGAAAATAGACAGTACCTTTTAATGTGAGGAGCGGGTGCACGTACGGGGCAGTATCTACCATGGGAACAAGGTGGGGTTTAGACTCGTCCTCTAGAATGCCAGTCCACTGTGTTCCCACCATAACCCACTGCCTCCCGTGTTTGTTTTGTGTATCCTCTGTACCCTCGTCCCACCCCGGCCTTACTGGATAGCAGAACTCCTTTAAGAAGGCGGACTCATAGGAATGAGGTCCAAAGTCACATTACCAGTTCACCAGCCTTACTTACAGTTTTCTGGCAGTTGTTATGTGGCTAGAGTGATCCTTCAGGGACTAGAGAGGGAGAGGAAAAAGGGATATGGCTAAGGAGAATGGCCTGAGCCAAGGAGAAGCAGGCAAAGAATCCTAAGTGCTCTTCATCCCAGTCAGACAAACCTACTTCCTGTCCAAGGATAATACCTTGGCGGCTGAAATACCTTCATACCTTCTAAGCATCAAAACAAGACTTTTTCCTTCTTCACTGTTTTGCTCAACAAGAATGAAATATTGTTAGTCCTTCCACTCAATAGCAATTTTTTTTAAGTGAAAATACTTAATGATAATCATGCTGCAGTATTAGGGGACATTTGTAGTAGCTTCATAAATTGGTAGAACATAGTTAAAATATACTTGGAAATATTAATCTAGAGCCATAACAATGTTTATACACTTTGATCCATGGATTTCCTGCCTGGGAACCTATTCTATGGATATTACCCAAATTATGGAAAAAATTATACAAGAAGATATAAATCACAATGTTGTTTATAATGTAGTAAATGTAGTAAAAAATGAGAAAAAACAAAATGTCCTGTAATAAATAAATGATTATGTATGTTTTGTTCTTTCCCCGATCAATGGCTATTTTACAGTCATTAAAAAATGAGAGTTACATGCTGAAAATGTTTATACATGAAATGATATAATGCTGAAAGTAGCTGCAGAATAATCCAGGGGAAGATGAGGAAGTGGGTAAGAGTACAGATGAAATTAACAGCTCTTTCATCTGGGTGATGGCTAGGTAGGGCTTTGTTATACAATTTGCTCTACTTTTTATACTTTTGAAATATTACATTAAAAAGTTTATACACACTGTAGATTGCAAAACAAGGAAAATTGTAAAGATAACATGAACAAATATAATAAGAATTATATACTGCAATTACAGATGTATAAAATATACATGAATAAAAACAATAAAAAATAATCCAAAATAATAACTGACTGTTAGGATTGTCAATATATGAGTAATTTTTCTTTATTTTTATAAATTGTATGTCATATAAAGATTTTTCAAATTAAAAGCTGAAATTGTACAATGTTTGCTTATCCTTTCTCATCCTTGAAAGCTCAAGTTTATTTAATCAATTTAGCATAGAATTGTCTTAACTCTTGACTACTCACCCCTGTAAAGTTCCCACACGTAGAGTGAAGTCTCCATTTCTCTGCATAGATCCTCTCCTTGTGTATCTTTGCCACATACTGAAAATTCCAAATTAGGCTCCTTATGTTGCCTGGGTTATCTGCCCTTGCTGCCCAAATGAGGTTTGTTTATAAAATCCAAAGTGACTTTAACACAGTCTAAACAAAACTTAATATATGAATTAGTTACCAAAAATTTTATCATTGGCATTTCAAAGACTACTGTAAATGACTTTTAAATTGCCTGATTTTGGGGATGATTTAAGTCACTGTTTTTTCCTTTTATGTTGAGAGTGAAGACAATTTTTTTTTTTTGTATGTTCACTTTTTCCTTTTCTGTGCTTCTGGCTTTCATTGTAAAGCTCAGGGTACAGGAACCATGACGACTGTTCAGTAAACGAGGTGTTTTGTTACTATCAGGATGTATACTGACCCCTTTATATTCTCTGTTTCTTTTAAGAAATAAGGAAAAGGTAGCGCGGGAAGTAAAAGCTTTGGCAGCACTTGATCATCCAAATATTGTTCGCTACTATTCTTCTTGGGATGGAACTGATAATGCTGTGGCAGGCCGCAGAAACAGGTAACTAAAAAAGAAATCCTCATAGCACTAATAGGATGGAGGAAACTGTCCCTGACTATGTGTGGGCCATCAGATAAGGCCAATAATTTATACATATAATAATCACAACCACAAGCACTGTGTGAGACACTATTATGTCTTGATTCTTCAGGTAAGGAGGCAATGAATAATGTTTTCCTTCCTCTTCTCCTTACTCCAAACCTGTTCTCAAACATTCTTTCCTGTCCTCAGCTGTTTTCAGAATCTCAGGTGTAGCTTTCCTGACTGTGTTCCTTCATGGTAGGCTTACTCGCACATTCAATTCAGTCTGGTCTATAAATGACATCTTGAGAAGGCAGTTCGACCACGTTGTAGATACTGCAACAGGAGGGCCGCTCCTCAGCTGACAGCACTTTTCTCTCCCTCTCCCAGGCCCCCAATTGGTAGGATGCAGTCAATGGGTCTCTTTCCAATGCAGTGACACCATTTATGGTGGCCTGGGGTGGTGAAAATAATGTTAAGACCATGAGCTTTGATGGGGGCACCTCACCTTGCATCACTCATGTTTTGTCTCAGGGAAGCCACTGCCAAAGGCCTGGAGGACTCTAACGAGCTGGCATCTCCCTTTGAAAGTCACTCAGTGTAATCTTGAGCCCATTGTGGGCCTGTTCGTTCATTTTCTCATGCAAGCCCAGCCTTCCACCCCATGGATCGAGAACTTTATCATCGGTTTCATTTCTGGACCGCCAGCATACGGGATTTCTTCAGCTTTCAGCAAATTCTTGGCTACCTCTTTCTATTTTCTATCCAATATACATTCAAAGTATATATATTACTACTGAGACAAACTTAGTTCAGAAAAAAAATATGGTTAGCAAAATGAGTCCTCCCAGTTATAACAATTTATTGACATTTCTCTTAGAGTACCTAACCTTGTGTTATTTTTTTAGGTTTGCTTTTTCTTTCCCCTCTCTCCTGTTAAACTATCATCCCTATGACATGAAGGATACAGTCTAACTCACTTTCTCATCTGTAGGTGCTTATCCTATGCTTTTCACAAAACAGATGCTCAGTAGAATGATGATGAATTAAAATATTTTAAGTTACTTTATATAATAATGAGATTTGGTTTTCTACAATTCCATTGTATTAATGCTCCCATTCCTATTTTTTAGAAAGGTGATCAAGGACCTTTCTAAGCATTAAAGATTGGACAGGCTTATACTTCATAAATTAGCTAAACAAAGCTCTGGATATCTGGGGATTTATGATTTAAATAAAAACAGTTTATTATATTTTTATTCAAATTTATTTATTTAGATTTCTGTTTTGAGGAATGTTTGCGCTTCTTAAGAAGGTATACTTTTTTTAAAAATGTATTTTTTAATAAATTTATTTTTATTGCTACTTCTCTGTGAATTTTATGTCCAATCCAAGGACCGAGTGCCTTTTCATCCAAATGGATTTCTGTGATAAAGGAACATTGGAACAATGGATTGACAGCAGAAAAGGCAATCATCAAGACAAACAGTTGTCTTTGGAATTATTTGAGCAAATTGTAACAGGAGTGAATTATATTCATTCAAAAGCATTAATTCATAGAGATATTAAGGTAAGTGGAAAATATACTTTGTTAGGAGTTGAGAAATATAATTTAATAATTTAAAAATCTATCTTCTCCAGTTTTAGAATTATTTGACAGTTATGAAGAAATATCTCTGATCCTCTAAAGTTCAAATGGGTCTAGAACTTGTCCCACATACCATTCCCTAGAGCCACTCAGAAGATCTCTAGGACTAGTAAACTTGTCAAGGCACTGAGCTCTACTGGAAGGAATTAATTCACTTCTAGTGCCAGCCAGATGATAGCTACTCCATCTGTAAACGCTAATAGCTTTAGTGTACTGCACCCTTCTGGGCAAATAATTATTGTGGCTGGTCCAGCCAACTGGCTGCTCTGGCCCTGCCTCTGCTGCTACTTGAGCTTGTCTGCGGGGCAGAAAGGATTCTGCTGACTACAGCTTTGGGAACATGGGTTCTCCTGCTCTCTCAGCCATTATTCTTGAGGGCAGTCACAACTACTAAGCCCAGTGTCTAGTTTTTTGTTTTTTGTTTGTTTTTTTTTTATGCATTTGGACACTTTTGCCTCATGATTGGGAAATGGCAATAATTCAAACCTTGTAACATGTAGTAGACCTTTGTATTTTCATTTTCTTCTGTCTTCCTAGCATCCTACATGGTCTAGATGAGCAGTTTTCCCATTTTTCCATGTCATCAAAACAAAAGAAGAGAAACAGAATAGCTTTTCAGTCTCACTTCCATACTCTTTGCCCTGTGATTTGCCCGCTCTCCCTACAAACCAGCCATGCTGAATCCTATTACTGAACATGTACTCATGTTCTCACATGGAACAGTCTTCTGCCTGTCTCCTCTGTCCCAGTTCCTTTTTTAGTCTTTCCAAATCACTCTGGATCAGACAGAAGTGCCTCATTTATGTGGATCTTAGCTATCTGCTTATTCCACCTATCTAAAACACCTAGGAATAAGGAATGAAGCAAATGTTTCCCTGAGTAAAATAAGCACTTATACATAGTTGTTTGTTGGTCCTTTCTAGGAATAAGTAGCCCTTAAACAATATTGCATCCTTGGTCTGCCCAGGGAACTGAATGTCTGATGCGTGAGTCTGCTTGGTTCCAATATCTCTCTTTAACAATATCTGATGGTGTTCTTTGAAGTTAGAACATAAGAAGGACTATGTTCAGCTCTAGCTGGTGTGTCTCAGTGGATTGAGTGCCAGCCTGCGAACCAAAGGATTGCTGGTTCGATTCCCAGTGTAGGGCACACGCCTGGGTTGCAGGCCAGGTCCCCAGTCTAAGGTGCCCAAAATGCAACCACACATTGATGTTTCTCTCCTTCTCTTTCTCCTTCCCTTCCACTCTCTAAAAATAAATAAAATCTAAAAAAAAAAGAAAGATAAAGAAGGAAGACTGTGTTCAAAAAGATACATTTAGAAAGGCTATGCCTTCACTTTGGAATAAATCATACATAGAGTTAAAGTGAAGAATTAAGCACAATTATCTATACTGTAATTTTTAAGAAAATACAGAAGTGTAGGTATTAACGCCCACACCGTCCTCATGATGAACTAGTGCGATTCTGACTGGTGTGGACCGGAGTCTGCCTTCTCCCCCACCTGCTATAACCCGCACCACCCATGCCCTGTGTCAGGGACTGAGCTTTCCTTGTGTTTGTTTGCAGAGACAGTTTGCTCTATGTCTGCAGTTGCTCAAAGGTCAGGCTTCAGTACGACCGAGGCTTCTTCCACCTTCTGCAGTGGTTCTAGCTTCACTGCTGCAGTTGCTGCTGCCTTGCATCTGAGGATGCAAAGGAAGGCGTGAACTTTTTTTTTGGTGATGCCTCGCAAAATACCAGTTGCAGGTGGCTTTGTCAGAGAATGGTTTTTACCCAGTAAAGCCCCTGTTATGTGAAGTTTACCAGTGTTTAACACTTCCTGTTGGAATCTTAAGAACTAGACCAGAGGCACTAGGGGAGGGACGTAGATGTTTCTGGAGTGAGGGCTTACAGTCCTTGGAGGTTCAGTCTCCAGAGGCCCAGGTTCTTTGATCATCCTCAGCCTGCACATCAGCCCTTATTCCTGTACCTCCTACAGAAAATCGGCACTCTTTTAATGTTCTCCAACCCGACCTTTTGCTGAATCGTACCATAATGGATTACACAAAATGTGGCATTACTGTTTTTCTTTTTAGTGAACAGTAAATAAGCAACCTGATATTTTTACTGCACAGTCCTATCCAGCTTGTATGTTTACACAGAATCATATATGTAACCTTTGGTTTCTTAGAGTCAGCCTATAGCCTTGTGTGGGAGTAGCAGTTACACTTGCAAACTCAACATATTCCTGCACTGTCACTTGAATTATTAGCATTGACACATTTTCTCTCCACCCACCCCATACACATCCACAGCTTTCTATCTGTGTTCTTGTCTTACTGCACGATCTGTGTGCTAGTCTTACTGTTCACTGTTCCAATCCAACTGCTCATTTCTGCATGGAGCCTTTCCGGCTGGCTCCTTGGGAGCTCCTTTTTCAGCCTCCTGGGCTGATGTCTCTTCCATCTCAGTTCCTTTACTAGGCCCTCTTATAAGTGTTGGCTCATGAGGTCTGTGTGTGAATGTATAGCCCAACAATGTACTGCAAGTCTAGCCTTTTAAACAGTGGCAAATATTAATTTCCTCCCAATAACCATCTATTTTCATGGTCTTTAGAATATTGGTCAATACCTTCTACAAATTTGTGGAATAGGATGAACACCCCTCATTCTGTTCTTCTTTTTACTTTTTAAAATCTGCTCAAAGAATTGCATGGAAAAAATACTTCAGTGCTAGTTATTGGTTTCCAGTTAACTTGGTATGCCTTCAAGGATAGAAGGGGTATGTTTCTGAAGAAGTTGACAGAAACTGGAGAAATTGACATCAAGGAAGGCCCCACAAGTAGTTCTGCACAAGATATCCCATAGTGTAAGTGAGAAGAGACCCATTCTGAGAATTTCAAAATTGGAAGAGATCATAAGGGCTTCTACTTTATCCGCATCGAATCCTGGACTCATACAACATTTCCATCAAGAGGGTGTCCAGTTCTGTCTTGAATAATTCTTGGGATAGGGAACTCTTGAATGCCCATTTTTGAACCACACTATTAGTATTTTTAGGTCACACTAAAGCAAACCTTTTGGTCATTCCCACCCTGTGGTCCTGGATTTATCTCCTGGGGCATGCAGAGTAAATCCACCTTCCACTCAACAGCTCCTCAGATATTTGAAGGCAGCTCTGCCCCAGGCCTTCTCTGCTGACAGAGAAGTGCTGACTTCCTCAGCTGGCATTTTAAAGACCTGAGATACTAAATTTTTTATTTTGGGCTACCTGTATAAGGATAAATGCCTTATACTGGACTAAGTAAATGTAGAAATTGTCATTATTAAATATGATTTGGATATGTGATCCCAGTCTGTCTTATTGGTACTTATAATTAAATATTGTTTTGTTTTTTTTTCTTGTAGCCAAGCAACATATTTTTAGTAAGTAGAAAACAAATAAAGATTGGAGACTTTGGACTTGTAACATTTCAGGAATACAATGAAAAGAGGACGCGTGACAAGGGAACGCCAATGTACATGAGCCCAGAGCAGGTGAGGTAGTTTTCCTTTTTATCTTTATCTTTTTTTACCTCTTTCATTTTTTAAAAATTATAAAAATAATAGACATCTCTTATAAAATCAAAACAGTACAGAAGTATGTAGATAAAAATGGGAAAGTCCCCCTAACCTTCCTTTTATTGTACTTTTACTCTGCTAACTACAGTTTGTTGTTTATCCTTTAAAATCATTTTCTGTGAGTTATAAAAATATACAAACACAAATATATATTTGCACAGAATTTTTACATAAAAATATACACACATAACATTTTTACTGGAATACTATAATGTTCTTTTGTGACTTGATTTTTTTCACTCAACGTGTCATAATTTTTCCATGTTGGTACAAATAGATCTGACACATCCTTTTTAGCAACTATATTGTATGCTAAAGTATAGCTCTACTATAATTTAAGTATTTCCTTGTGAGGGGTGGTTGTGGCAATTTCTTAAAATAAGACAATGAAGTTTGCTGCATTGATTGACGTTTCCTTTCGCAAATGATTTCTTTGTACCATGTGATGCTGTTTGATAGCATTTTACCTGGAGTAGAATTTCTTTTAAAATTGGAGTTAATTCCCTCAAACCGTGCCACTGCTTTGGTACAGGAGAAACCTGGTTCTTCTTGCCGACACAGTAAAGAATTGCAGATCAGCAATTCCATTAGTATGTAAGCAGGGTTTATTAGGGATACCTTCTCATGGGAGGGGATGGGCCTTGCCGAGGTGGGAGTGAAAGGCGTAGGTTCAGGACGTGGTCAGGGCGGCAAGAGCGGGGAGTGGTTAGAGCATCAGGTCCTTTGTTCCGAGGACTTACATAGTTGGTTGGATGGGGTGGAGAAGTTACATACTGATTGCCGGGTAAAGGTGGTGCCAGCTTTCCCCGGGGGGATGTGACTATCCGAAGTTAAGTATGTGTTGGGGGTCTGTTAGCCCAAATCCTTACGTTGCTCCAGACTCTATTTGTTCATCTTGATGTAAAACAGATACGTGATGGGAGGCAGTTAATTAATGTTGGGGCAGTTACCCAAAGTTATTTATGGCCTCTTTCTGTAAGCATTAGGGACTCCCTTGTAAAACAGATAGTGACCAGAGGAAGGCAATTAACCGAAGTTGTTTTATGGGTTTCTTTTGTGAGTGCTGTGGGCCCCCTCCTCTTCCTGCTTCCAGGCCTCGCTATGATTACACAGTTTCAAGGCTTTTCTTCCCAGATAGTGGAAATGATACATAGAATATCAAGGACTTCCTTCCTCCTGTGCTGACATAGTATTTCTTGTGATGTTGGAACACCTGGCAATACTATCGGACCAGGCTCAGGTCTACTGAGTTAGTGGGTGAGACATGTCTCCCTCCTCCTCCCTGCCGTGATTTACTATCCATCCCACCTAAGTGCTAAAAGGCATTTCCTGGCAACCAGGACGCTAGACTCTGGCCAGAAACAACAGCACAGTCTCAGAGTTCTTTCTATGCTGTCTCCTGCCTACTAAGTTAAGGCAGTATTCTAATACTTGGCGAGGTACTAACAGGTGAGAGAAAAGAAAAGAAACTAGAAGACAGCACGCTCTCAATAAAGTAAAATTTAGTAGCCTTTAGGGAAAACAATATCATTTGCTACTCCACATCTGATCTAATTTTTAAAAATGCAACAAAATGAAATACAATAAGACAAGGTAAGCCTGTATAGCATGATCTGTTTATCTATTCTCCTGTTGATGGACATTTGGATTGCTTCCAGTTATGGAATATTATGAATAAATCTTCTATGAACATTGGCATGCAAGTCACTCACTAGGAACTATTTTAACTGTTTCAGCTGCCACATCTCATTTAACCCCACAATCAAACTCTGAGGCTGAAACTATTGTTATCCCATTTTATTGCTCAGATCATTACCATGTTGATGGTTAATTAACACAGGTGATTCAGCTATTTAGTGACAAAGATTTGAACTTGGGTAGACTCCACAGATCTTGCTAACAAACATACACTGTGATATAATATATTTTGGGCAAATAACATTTTTGGCTTCAGAAGGCACGGATGTTTATATCCCGGGGGTAACAAATGTAAATATATTTTGATCTCTAGATCTCTTCACCAGAATATGGAAATGAAGTGGACATCTTTGCTTTAGGGCTAATTCTTGCAGAGCTTCTTTACATACCTTCCACTCGTTCGGAAATACTTAAGGTAAGTGATCTCACAGAAAGAATTTGGCAACAAGAATTTTTGGCCATTATCTTCAAAATGCTGCTGCAGATAGTCATTACCCTCATGTACGGATGGACTTCAACATATCAGAGTTGACTGCAAACAAAATACAGCTTTTATCACTTTCATGTTTGGGCAACCAGAAGTTTTCATTAGAAGCTCTGGTCATGATGGTGGAGTAGGTAAACGCGGTGCTCGCATCCTCCCACCACTGTATCAATATTCCAATTAAATTATAGAACTGCCCTTGAGAACCACCAGAGGACCAGCTGGGCAGAACCTCTACAACTAAAGGTATAAAGAAAAAGCCACATCAAGACTGAATTTCAACTGTAATTGAAAAAGTAAAACAAAGAAACAAACCAAAAGCTCTTTTTGTAAAGGCAAAAAACTTTGGGGTTTGTTTTTTTTAAAGTGTGTGCATATCTTAAAACCGTACCTGTTTATTCCCATTTGAATCAGTCCGTAAAATTTTGATTGCCTGCTTGACCTAAGACCCTGTGATAAATGCTGCAAGGATCATAAAAATGAATAGGCTTTGTTCTCAAGGAGCTTATATTCTAGAAGGAAGGTACTGTAAGAGAATGCTATAAATGTTTTGAGAGAAGGTGTGAAGTCTTAGGGGAGCAGCAAAGAGGAGACCTTTCCAACTGTAGGGATTTAGGTTCCATGGAGGCGTTGAAGCTGGGCTCTGAAGGATTGGTTGGCGTTTAATATCCAAACTAGAAAGCAGCTGATTCCAGCATGGAGACAGGAATGTGCAGGGTACGTCTGGTGATATCAGGCAGAGTTTGATGTGGTTTTTTTTGTTTTGGAATATGTAAGTTATGAGGAAGTGGTGCTGGATGGCATTGGAAAAACACGTTGGGGCTAAATTAAGGCAGAAATGTGGACTTTGTTTTGAAGGCAGTAGGGCGCCAGTACATGCCTTAGGCAACTGGATATCCTAGTCTGAAGCTCAGTGAAGGGGACTGACTCGGAGTCAACAGCCTTTCCCCCTGTAAAACAGGTAATGAAAATACCTGTCATACAGAGTTCCAAAAGGAAGGGAGAAAAGGCCTATGATGCTCATGACACTTCAACATGGTGTGATGTTAAAGGTTTTATTGGATGGGGAGCGGGGGAGGGGAGTCCTGCTTGCTTCTAGGCTAAAGAGACTTTCCAAAGATCTGAAAATATCCTAGATTTAGGGTATCCCCAGGTTTTGTTGTTTTCTATGTTTGTTTTTCCTCCTAAGTAATAATTTCATAATGAATATATTTATTTTCAGCTTCTTGGTGATCTACGTCATGGCCGTATCTGGGATGTATTTGATCACAAAGAAGTAAGCACTTGAAAATAATCAGAATTTAAAAAATTTATTTCAATGTTTTATTTTTTTGTAACGACTATTTCTATCATTACAGAAAATTCTTCTAGGGAAATTAGTCTCAGATAAACCCAAGACACGACCTAAGACGTCTGAAATACTGAACACCTTGAAGGAGTGGAAGGCCGCTGTGAAAGAGAGGAAGATGCGACACACGTATTAGTGCCTTTCTAAAAAAGTGTCCTACTTCTCATGTTCAATTTTCTTGTGACTGTCTAAAACCTGCTAGGGATTATTTTCCTTCTCTGTTAATTGTTTTTAACTACATTTGCAGAAAGGTTTGCACTTTTCAACTTCAAAAATGTTTTTACGTTTGACTTTTTCCCAGCTCATCTCCTTATTATGAAGATGGGGAAAAAAATCCCTCAATTTTTTGTATCAATCAATTGATAAATCTTCATCAAATATCTACTGTTTCTAAGCCAAAAAAAAAAAGAACATCTTTCAAGTCTTAAATAGGTAACAAGGCAGTTGGAGGAAAACGGTACCCATAAAAGGATAAGTTATATGCAGTCACTTTGGAAAACAGCTTGGTGTCCTGTAGTAAAGGTAAATGTGTGTATTCCAGAAAGCCATCAATTCCATTCCTACATTCATGCCTACAAGAATGTTCGTAGAATTCCTATTTGTAAAAGTCAAAGGATCAGAAAACAATACCACTGTCCATCAAGAGAAAAATGGATACATACATTGTATTATATTCACATTGAAATACGATATAGAAGTTAAAGTGAATGAATTACAGGTAAATGTAAAACATGCTACATCTCTCAGGAACAATATAAAGCAACGAAGCAGGTTACAGAAAATATATACAGAATGATTCCACTTATATAAAGTTCCAAAACGTGGTAAATGAAATCGTTTTGTTTAGGAATCCAAACAAATGTGGTAAAAATAATAACGGGAAGGAAATGTTGAGAAACATTAAATTCTGGTAGTGGTTGCCTCTGAGGAGGAATGGGAGTGGTGTGATGGGGAAGGGGATTTGAAAGGCACAGCTAACTTTTTTCCTTAAATTGGAAGCTGCCTCCACTAGTGTTTACTACAGAGTTATTCTTTTTACCTTAAATATACTTTGTATCTATTCTAATAAACACTTTAAAAAGATGGTAACTGTGCTGTAAGGCAAGCTAAGCATAGAAAATAGTCAGCCTGGAGGGGCGAGATCACTTTCCACCGAAGTGTAATGGCACAGGGTTTGCAGGCGACACTTCAGCAAGGGATTTAAGTGAGTAGGGAGGAGACCTACTGAGCAGTCTGAGCAACGGGCATGGCGTAGTAGATGACATAGAATAATCATTAATTTTATTAGGTGTGATAGTGATAGTGTGGTCATGCAGGAAAATGTCTCATTCCTGGGCTCTGTGTACAGAAGTATCTAGGGGTCATGTGGCATGATGTTTGCAACTTTGAAACATTCAGCAAAAATTAATGTGTAAAAGAAAGAGAGCAAATGTGGCAAAATGTTAACAAGTGAACTGATAAATCTAGGTTGAGGTTATAGAGGTGTTTCTTGTCATATACCTTGAACTTTTCTGTAGGTTTGAAATTTTTCTGGGAGGAGAGAAATCCTTTTTTTTTAAACTATTATCTGGATATAATGAATAAGGCTTTCCTCAAAAGAACGTAGCCTTATTTTTACTTTCTCATTTTAATATTTATATTATTACGAAATAAATATAGCATCTCTTGGAAGCTTTTATTGATTTGTGGGTATATATTTTCTCAGCCTCAAAATTATAATAAGTAAAAAATATCTTCTTAATCAGAAGAAGAGAGGGGCAAAGGCCAGGGACCTTATGTGCAAATTAAAATGCACATACATATATAGAGATTTTGAAAGATCTATCTATATCTGTATATGATATATGTAGATATTATGTTTACCCCCTTTTTAAAAAGTTCTTTTGCTGACATTTTAAAGGAAATTGAGGCACTATTTCACTTGTAAGTACTTAAAAAGGATCTTTATGTCTAACAGATCTTTTTAATAATAACAAAACCACAACATCACCACTCAACAAAATTAAGACGTTTGAAATTATTTGATAATTCAGCTTGCTTTCAGTTTTCCTATCTCAAAAATACCTTTCTATGTGTTGTTTAAATCAGGATCTCTTTTACTCAATAACATTTACCTTTGCTTTTAGTGTCTTTCCTCTTGCAATTTGTTTGAGGAAGGAAGTGGGATATCTATTGCATAGAATTTACTCCATTCAGGATTTGACTGATGATATCCCCATGGTGTCTAGTTAGGTCTAGAAACTTCATTTGATTCTGGTTCAAAACTTTTTCCCCCAAGAATTCTTCATAGGTGATGCTGTATACTTTCTTCAATGTCACTTGGGATGAACCTGATGTCTTGTTCCACTTTGGGTGATTTTCAGATTGCTTGGTGGGTTGTGGTGGTGCCATCTATTTCAAAGTTTCCTATCAGTCTTTCAGCTATAGGTTTTTAGCAACTGTTGGTGAATGTCTGGATCCATTATTTTATTAGGGGTTGCAAAACAGTAATTTTTGGATTCTATTGGTCCTCTTGCATTTATCATCCGTGATTCTTCTATACAGAACTACAAAGTTCTGTATAGAAGAATAAAGGGCTAGGGGCCTGGCGCACAACCCGGGCATGTGCCCTGACTGGGCGTGGAACTGGTGACTTTTCCGTCCGCATGCTCAACCCACTGAGCCACACCAGCCAGGGCCCTATGATATAGTTTTTAAAGAGTTAGAATTTAAGCTAATAGTGCGGCCACCGTAGATCTGTTTACATGGTGTGGTAAAGCAAATTTGGGAGGTAAAATGTGGGCTATCATTGGGAGATACTGAGTTAGGGGTGCTGCCGGAGTGTTCAGGTGAAGATGTAAAGCATACTGTAGGAAACAGGACGGGAACCCGGAAGAAGGGATAGATCGGAATCATACCCAGAGGTGAAGTGCATGTTATCTAGAAGTAACCCCGGATGCTTCTTGAATTCAAGAGAGAGAGATGCTAAAGGAAAGAGGGCAAGGGAACAAAGCATGGCAGGCAGATGTCTCCGTTTAGATATTTACTCTTCATGTCTAATGTCAATCCCGTCCTTAAGGTCTTTATCTGTGATTATCATCTATGCCAATCCTGAGACAATGATCTCAGATGGAGGGACTGTAGTTGATAGCTGTAGAGTGGCCTAAAACTTTAAATCTGTGTAATAGGTAAAACTGAGCAAAGGAAATTGTTCTCAAGCCCTGGCTGGATGACTCCGTTGGTTGGAATGTCATCCTGTACACCAAAAGGTTGAGGGTTCAATTCCCAGTCAGGGCACATACGTAGTTTGATCCCCAGTTGGGGGGTGCCTGTGGGAGGCAACTGATTGATATTTCTCTCCCACATCAATGTTTCTCCCTCCCACCCCCCCCCAAAAAAGTCAAGGAACGTATCCTTGAGTGAGGACTAAAAAAAATCACTTTCAAATATTTGTGTCTCTTTGGAGTTAATTTGGCTCCTATATTAGTTTCCTATGGCTGCTGTAATAAATTACCACAGACTCAGTGGCTTAAAACAAAACACATTTACTCCCTTATAGTTTTGCAGGCCAGAAGTCTGAGAAGAGTTTCACTGGGCTAACATCAAGGTGTTGGCAGGGCTGTGCTCCTCCTGCGGCTCCCATTCCATGACACACGTTCCCCGTTACCTGAAGAAGCCTCAGCCACGCTGCTTGGCTCTGGGTTACCTGAGCAGGCTTCTACCCTCAATGGCTCTCCGCTATGGTTTCTACCTGAAATTCCCTCCAACTATTTTTAAGTAGCAACTTGACTGAGATATAATTCACATATCCTGTAGTCACCCATTTAAAGAATACAGTTCAGTGGTGGTTCATACATTCAGACTTGTGCAACCATGACTGCAATCATTTTTAAAACATTTTTTGTTAGCCCCTGAAGAAATCGCATGTCCATTAGCAGTCGTTCCTCATCTTCCCCCAATTCTGCACAATTACTAATCTACCTTCTATCTTTATAGATTTCTGCATTCTGGACATTTCATGTAAATGGAATCATAGAATATGTGGTCCTGTTCACTTCATGTAATGTTTTTAAGGTTCATTCAGGTTGTAGCATGGATCGGTACTTCATTCCTTTTTATTGGCTGTATCATTCATTTTTTTCTCTAATTGATGGACATTTGGGTTGTTTCCACTTTCCAGCTGTTACGAACAAGGCTACTGTGGATATTGAGGCTCAGGTTTTATCTCCACTTCTCTTGATCGTATATGTAAGAGTGCCAATGCTGGGTCATGCTGTAACGTTATTATTTTGCGTATCAAACTTATGTTTGGAACCCACTTTCAGTGCTACTTCTGTAGTGTTTCATCTCCCACTCAGAATGAAACTTCTCCCTAGTACTTCCGTTCTTTAGTACCTCAGTATTGGGCTTACCAGTTTGCCTCAGAGCACAGTTATTCCTCCAGACTGTGAATTTCTGGAAAACAGGGAAAGGCACTCTTGTTTTTATATACTCCAAGGCCATTAGTATACTGCCCTGCATAAAGCAGAAAGTATTAAGTGCTTCTGAATTGGTGGGGAAAAAATATTAATTTCACATGCTTGAACATACAAAATGTGTCAAATACTAAATACTGTTCACTTTAAAATTTCAACAATTAAATGTTTGGTAAATAACATTTAAAGTAAATATCTGTAAGGCAAATCAACTGGCTACATTGAATCTACTTATTTTGTACTTTAGAACGTCCAGTATTTGGGTGAAAAAAGTGAAGGGATAGACCAAAAGAAAAAAACAACAACAACAAAAAAACCTCAGACACAAACAGCAGTATGATGATTACCAGAGGGAAAGGGTGGGCGGGGGGGAGAGACAAGAGGGTATAAGGTGTGGTGCTGGACACAGCATTCAGTGTACAGATGATGTATTAGAGAGTTGTATACTTGAAACCTATATAATTTTATTAACCAATGTTACCCCAATAAATTTAGTAAAAAAAAAAACACCTAAAATTAGGAAAGTGATATATTTTAGAAATTGTAGGTATGACTGAAAATAAATAGCATAATATAAACAAAGGTAAATGACATTAAATTTTACTGTTTCAAATTTCACATAAATGTTTGAAAGATAATTTAAAAATGCTCTCCATGTTTTGTTTCCCTTGGTTTTCATTATTGTCTGGTTATGAACTCACAAGAGGTTATGAATAAAAATATTTTTACTCACATTGAAAGCCTTTATTTTTAACTGCTGATAGATCTAAGAATCACAGGAGGTCTCCCACTCTCCATGGCATGCGCCAGGCCTGGAGTCATGGGTTCCATCAAGGTTATTCTCATTCTCAGAATAGCTGTTCCTGAATATACTGAAAATATTCTGGGCCACTGGGCAGGTGATGGGTTGTCACCATAGTAAGAGGAGAAAAGGAAGCCAGTTCCCGATTCTGTTTTTTGTTAAACAACCCATGTGGCTTTGGGACAGACTGAATGAATATGGGTATGTTGGCTGAAATGACAGGAAAGGATCTGACTATAGTTGCTAGGGAAAGAGGTACTCCTTTGTTTTACCTATTAATATGTTTTTAAATGAAACAAGTAAAAATTGAACAGTATTATCCAACTATATAAACTCCAGTATTTTATATATGTCCTTGAATTTATAAAAATGATTCATTTTCCGGGTGAAGAACTGAGGTCCAGAAGTTAACCAGCTTAGTGGTTCTCAAGCCCTGCTTCATCATAGAATCAAGGGTAGTGACGCTAAGACCACAGTGACTAATTATGTCAGAATCTCGGCATGGGACCCTTGTATTGTTTTTTAAAGCGCCCCAAGTTCAACTTGAGGACAAGTGAACTAGGTTATATAAGGTCGAGGGCTAAGACAAGATGTGCTATTAATTAACTTGTGCCAGTGTAGCTTAGATTTTGGTATGTTCTCATGCATGCTGTTTCTAATAAAGGGAAGAAGAGGTTGATCTTTTACTCAATGCTACTGAAAGGTGAGATGTAAAACTGTATAGGCAAGATCAAAACTCCATCCCAAGAATGGTGCTCTATGTTTAACCTATAGCATTATTCTCACCCACAGGTGCTTATCAGACTTAGAACTTTAAGATAAATATAGATATCCAAGAAGTATTCTGGATTAGCTGAATCAAAACCACTAGAGGAGGCACCTGAGCTTGTGAACTTTGAAAAAAAAAGAAATTAATGATTTTGACGCCCAGCCTTAGGTGGAGCTCCGCAGCAGTGTGCCCCAGAATGCCCTTAGCTGTATTTGGTTAAATTTTAGGAAAGCAGATTTCAGCTTAAGACAGAAAAAGCACTTTAAAAACTGCTTAGAGCTATCCAGCAATGAAATGGTTTATTTTCAAGTAGTGAGCTCTGTAAAGTGTGGGAACAAACTCTGTGAACCCTCATTCATTCTGTCTCAACAGAGGGGAGCCTCATCCAATGAGTGATTTTGGGAGAAGGAACTTCACATGTGTCGCCCAGTCCCTAGTAGGTTCTCTCACTTAGAAAGCTAACTGCCCTCAGAATGCAAAGGCGGTCTGTGTGCCTGCGAGGCAGAGACCTGCGGTTCTCCCTGGCCAGAAGCCAAACTGGAGAACAAGTCAGCCTGGCCCTCTTTCAGCTTCACTGACAATGAAGATGGTGCTCTGCTATCTCTCTGACTTCTGTGTCTTCTCAATTTGTGCAGAAGTGAAGAGGGAAATAAGAGAGTTATTTGTTAATGTCCTTAAACTTTCTAAGCATCAAAATAGAGTCATAAATTGTAATGGCCCATGTCTATAATACTTGTGTTTTGAAATAGTATTCTATTATTTTATTGAAGTCGGTGAACAATTCTAAAGTACAAGCTACTTCTAAAGTACAAAAAGGACAAAACATAAAAAATGTGGCATAAAAATACTGGGAATTCTTAACTGCTCAACTTGTCTAGAAAACAACAGCAACAGCAATTTCCAAATTTCTTTATTGAGAATAGTCTTAGTCATGATCTGCGGAAGTTGGTCCTGGGCAATTTGAAGACAGGTCTTCTTTATCTGTAATTTACATGAGGAAAATAAAAGATTAATACAACTTACATAGTAAACTATTTTAGAAAATTATTTTAATATAACATGGATCTTGTAGCTGTGTTTGCTACTTATTGCTAAACACACTGGGAGGAGTTTTAATAAAACAATAACCAAAAAGTCTTCACTCTCAAGTATAAAGTCCTCCATTTATTTCTTAAAATTAAAAAAAAAATGGAGTGGATTTCAACATGCTGATTTTTATGGTTCAGGAACAATATATAACAAAATTTAATATATCTTTCAATATATCTTTTCAGAATAACTGAATACTCTAAAAATAAAGCATGAAAAAAATTATTATCCTTAAGTTATTCAAAATTCTTCCTTTTGAAATAAAAGACTGAAAAATTCTCTCCTACACATTCAGTTTCTGAAAAGTTAACCCCTTTAATAAGGCCTCAATTATTTCTAAATCTACTATTTCTTTAAGACATTGATTCCACATTACCCTTTGGGTAGAAAAAGAAATTTCCATTATCTCTGGAAAATGTGACTTTTATTAAAAAAGTTAAAAATCAAGGAGCATTTGTATTCAATATTTTTTAAAAGTTTAAAGTATTTTCTTACCTTCATAGGCTGTTCCACACCAAATACAATATAGATGTTCTTCTCTTAAATAACTAGTCAGTATTTGTAATTTGTCCAGTACCTAGATACAGGACACAAGCACATCAATGGTTCACATTGAACAGAATCTTGGTTTTCTTGTCTCTTGAATCATGCTGAATGGGCCCAGGGCCATACATCTTCCACTACACTCTCAACCACTTAGGAGAAGTGTCAAAGGCAGAATTATTTTAGAACATGTCCCGGTTTACCAGACACAACAGAGACCACCTGTTAACATTCATAAAATAGAATGTGGAATGCTCTCTTAGGGGAGGATCCTTAAAAAACACTTCCATTTTCAAAGAATCTACTTTCTCCAGTGGGATGAGGGTAAACACTGTCTCCCTGTGCCACTGAAGGTCTCATCGGTGGTCTCCAGGTTAAGTGGAACATAGGTTTTTCAAATTTTGAACGTTTCCTACAAGATGTTTATATACATGTAACCATAGAAATGTGTATTCAGTGTATTCATTTCTTGAATAATCTCCACTCCTTTGGAATTGAGGGGTTTTTTGGTTCTGTCTTGTTCATGGGTGGGTGAAGAGAGGCACTTCTACAAGTTTAACGGGAAACAAGGTAGAAATGAAAATATTTACATGTGCAGCTACTTCATCATCCAAACTGCAGCAGAGGTGAGAGGGTAAACTGAAGCTAAAGGGAAAAATTATATGAAGTTCTGGGTTGGAGATGATAAACTATGATGCAGTAGTTCTCAACTAGGGATCTCTCCCCTCACAGGACATTTAACAATTTCTGGAGATATTTTTGGCTGTCACAAGGGGGAAGTGCAACAACCATCTCATAGCGGGAGGGCTGGGATCTGCTAGATATCTTACAATGCACGGAACAGCGCCCCATAACAAACAAGCACCCAGCTCAAAATCGTAATAGTGCGAATGCGGAGACACCCTGATCAAGGAAATGGTACCAAAACATACACTTAAATCTTCACTCTCATATTCATCTTCATCTTGTTCTTTTTCTTCCTTTTCCTCTTCTTCAGCCTCCTCTTCAAGCCTCAGCCAGTACCAGGCCTCCCTGGGAACCTGAATATTCTGAAAATGTAGAATTATTCCCAATTAAACATAGCTAAACATGAGACTATCACCTATATGTTCATGTCAACATGAATTCATTCTTTCAATTAAATATTTACTAAGTGCAGCTCCAAGACTGAAGAAGCACTGTAGTATTATGAACTCTGGGGAATGCAAAATCCAATCAGAATATTGTCTCCAAGTTGTTGACTGTCTAGTAGGGGAAATAAGCTCTGGGCATAGATAGCTTGGTGGATATGAATAATACATATAAGCTAGGAAATCTTAAGAATCATGACATACATTCAAAATAAAGTGCTAGGAAAATATAGAAAAATGAGAGACTACTTCTAGCAATCTATTTAAAGATGACAGAAATTTCATTTTTGAGACATTAAATGAAGTCCTTTTATTCTGAAGCATCAAAATAAAAAAAAAGCAAAATAAAAAAATAAAAATCATTCAGATCAGAAATATATAGTATTCTACTATGATCTTACTAGTTAGAGACACATGAGGTACTGAATAGGGACCGAAAATTGGCTAGTTAGTCAGATATTCTGGTGAATAGAATTTCTACACATAGTAGCCCTGAATAATCAATAATCAAATGAGCAGAGAACAATTAAATGTAAAAATGTTATTTAACCCTTATTGTATAATTCAGACTATTCAAGTTCCTACCGTAAACAAGTCATTATAGTGAGTATCAATTATCACAGATCAGTAATACATGGTAAATAAAAGCTTTAATCAGTAGAAGACTGGGTATACCAGACTTGGAGTGTTTTGTTTGGTTTGGTTTTTTAAATATAAATTCATGGCAAAGCATTCTGAGTGCCAAAACATGTCACTACCAAACAGAAAGCAGGTAGAAGAAGGCTTGCCTTCTGAGTATCCAATTGTTGACAGGCTCGCTGGCTTTTTCTGAGATCTCCTTCTAGCTTCATTTCATCTTGCTTATTTTTAAGTCGCATTCTAATTGAAAGAAAAAATAGTACATTACAGGCCTGTACTCTCTTTATCCATTTTATATGACCAAGTACCAATAAACATACCACACTGAAGAAAAGATGAAACCAAAAGCAGCCCAAATCCAAGGTTTTACCGAAACTGTTCCGCAGCTTTTTCTTCAGCTTGGTTTTTCATGTGAATCTTTCTTCTGTAGCTTTCTAACTTTTCCTCTGCTTTTCGTTTTAATAATGCCTCATGACCAATGCCACTTTTTCCTGTTCAAACAGACAACTTTGATGAGAAACTTACTGACTTTATATTTCAAAACATGACAATTTAAATATTTACAAATTAAATGCAATTGCAACTTGACTACAATCACTCAAAATCATTCGACAAGAGTGACAAAACACTAGAAATTTTTTTAAAACCTCAAACACATATAAATATGATAAACAAATAACACATATATTTCTTTAATTCAAAGTATTAAGAAAAACATTTATTTTAAATTTTATTTTTCAGTTACAGTACACATTCAATATTAATTTGTATTTGTTTTATGTGTATAGCATAGTGGTTACACAATCATATACTTTGCAAAGTGATCCCCCTGATATTTAAGAAAAACTTTGAATGGATAATTTTGTCTCAGAATACTTTTGGGACATTTCAACTGATAAAAATACGTTTGCATTTTTAATGGTTACAAAATCTTCTCCTATTATTTTATGATTTAAATTTTATTTTATACTCACTAAAACTTACTTTTATTTTTAGTTTAAAAGGTTTAGAAGTTTAACAAAGAAACATTTTAATGAGGGCTTCCTATGATAAGAACTATAACAGCACCACCATAAAAATATTTGTTAACCAAATATGTGTTAGATATAAACATAACCATATTATTTCTGGTAAGTATCCCAAAAAATAATTACATACCTGTTTTGACATTGAGAGGAATTGGTTCAACAATACCATCTCCTAAAAAAAGACAACAAAACACAAACTACTTCAGAAATCCTTCCTCAAAATACAGGTAAGCACAGTACGCAACTTTACAATGTTCCGTACAGATTCCCCCGTTTGAATGATATGGAAACTGAAATCTGAATATCAATATGCTATAATCAATTACTGTCTTTTGAATACCTACTCCTCAATAAGGCTGACCCACAGCCTCCTTTGTCACCTAAAGTAGGGTTTTAAGAAGTGAAAGACTGACATTAAACATCCAAGACGTTGACAGCCTTGCTGGATGAAGATCAAAGCAATTACAATAAAGGAGAGAGGAAAAACAGCTTACAGAAGCTACTTTAGATATATGACCTTTACATCTTAATAAACAACCTAAAAAGAGAGGTGAGAATGGAGATTCTCCAACTGGGTGGTCCCTCAGGCAGCTGCTACAGGCAACAGAGCAAACAGGGCAGAGTCCTGACATCATCCTCAATGTTTCTTCACTATCTTTTGCCTTTGAACTTCTCAACCCTTCCTTTGTCACCATTCCTAGCTGTTGCCTCCACTTAAGCTTTGTCCATCCCAGTCGTTAGTGCCTACAAGCTGGGCTGCTACCCATGGTTGTCTAAAGATGAACGTTCTTCATGTTAGTGCATAACAGACTAAGAAATTTAAGTTGTTTTAATTTTTGTGTAGATGAGTAAGATTAAAGAGTCATCTTCGGTACTCATGGACACCATTTGGTGGTTAGGAAAACCTTTTTATTTCTGGCTGTGACTTACCACTCTTGCCAAGGGCCTGACCACTTTTATATCCCATCTTCTGGAGCAAAGCAAACCCTTTATTTTCACTGCCTAGTGCATTCTTCAACCCAATGTCACGCCTTTCTTGTTCTTCTTCTTTTAAACTCTTCTGCCTATTTTTCAAATTCGCTTCCTGTTGCTTTTCTTCTTTTCGACGAGCTTCTCGAATTTGCCTCAGCATTGGCAATCCTGGTCTGATGTCTTCTCTGAAGAATAAGGGAAAAGGTGGTTTTAGACGAGTACCGGAAGTTTTCCCATGACTTCGATCCTACTTCGTATTTCAGTGCTACCTCTCGGATCATCTTTGTCATCATCTATATTCGAACGCAATCAGTGACTTCTGAGAATGGCTGTTTTAGTAAAAATCATGATGGTAGGTTGTTGCCAGATTGTGGAAGACTGAAGGAAGTGCACAGTTGAAGAAATTAGAAAAAAGTGTCTCCGCTAACTTTTCTAGGCGTTTGGTAACAATAAAGAGCAAAGCTGAATAGTAGCTAAAGGAGACAGTAAGATAAAATAAAGGAAAAAAGTAAAGTTACTTGGAAGAAGAAAAATTATAAGAATCAAGGGCAGAAGTAAAATGCTTAGTACTAAAAGGGAAGAGGCTCCTAGTTTCTTTGTGTGGACATGTAGACGGTGTTCCCATAAAGCGAAAAGACTAACTTTCCAACTTTACATTTAAAGTCAATGTCATTGCTAAAGAGCCTACATTAATGTCTTATACATATCATTACATGAAGTGTTCACATTTACTTACTGGACATTAATGAAGGTATCAGACATGTAGTCCTCTTCTTCTGCCATGTTCAACTTCATATGACACAAGTATCTGCAAATCAAATAGGATAAAGTATTAGTTACTCATTTTGTAGTTAACCAAAATGGAAATAAACCTTTCCGTATCTCCAGACATGAACTTTACCCAGAGCTCTATTCCACACCCAAGTGCCCTGTTGACAACTTTCTGTGTGGAGCTCTCAAACTCAACAATCCAAAAAACTCACTCTCCTCTACCCCAAACTTCCTTCATCCCCTATATTTCCAAATTTAAGTCACTACTACCTTCCCATTCCTGACCTCTTATAAACCTCTGTCACTTCCTCCTTTATAATATCCCGCATAGGCATTTTCCCCTATGGTTGTGACCACTACTTTAGTTCAGGTATTTCTTTCTCACCTGAGCTATTACAATTGCTTCCTAATTGGTCTCATGGCCTTTGGCTTCTCCTCTTCCAATCCATCATCTACACCCTCTCCAGAACGGTGTTTTAAAAACGTTAAGTCAGGTCATGTTACTTGCTCCTTCAAATTCTTCAATAAATTTTGCCCTATAGGCAGAGAGCCAGTGACTTTTAACACTGTAGCAGAAGCCCTCCATAATCTGACCCCTCCCTCTCCTTTAGGATTCATTATTCAAGCCACATAGGCTTCTCACTGCCCTCTGAACATACCACTGACATTTTCTTCCTACTAGGCTTAGGCTGCTCTCCTTTACAAAAACCTTTCCTGACCACCCCAGGCATCTCTCTGCAGCATTTTATATTAGCTGCTCATTTGGAACTTGATATAGTTAACACCTTACCTATATGGCAACATTTTTGAGGACAGTCTCCCTCCCAAATAGCTAAATCAGGTAATTATTGCTCCATAAATGGGTAAAATAATTATTCAGAAAAGTGCATCTCAAACTTTATTGTGTATATGAATTGCACCAGGATCTTAAAATGCAGAGTCTGATCTTAAGCTGGAGCCTGAGGTTATGCATTTCTAATAGCCTTCCAGGAGATGATAATGTTTTCCTTTGGGAGCCCAGCCCTTTGGCCTCCACGTTGTTCTAAAGGAGGGTGACAATCTCTATACACTCTTGAGCATAAAATGGCTAATGATAGTACTTTACATCCCCACAGCAGAGGAGGGCATGGCCTAACCAGAGCAAAGAAACCTCTCTTTCCTTACATGATATGAATATGTGGATTGTGGGGAAAGAAACTCTCTTCATTGGGGTTTCTGAACTAGAAATATGTGAAGCTGGGCTGCAGATAGCCATCTTCTTGGCCATATGAAGAGATCCTGTTCTGCAGAATGAAGCCAGATACACAAAATAGGCCTAAAAGCAATGAGTCTCCAACCTCAGTCCCCAAGACCCTGATTTCTGTAGCTATTTATTTGACGCTGTGACCTATAAATCTTCTGAGCTACATAGGCTAATAAATTTCCTCATTACTTTAGCCTATTGGAGTAGGGATTCTGTCAACGGCAACCAAGAGTCTGAACGATTAGATGGGATGAAAAAAATATTATTGCCCTAGTTTTTAATGTATATCTTCCCAACTAGGCTGTAAACCACAAAGACAAGTCCCCTATATGCCCAATGCCTACACAACTGTATCCCAAACATCATACATTCTTGATGTTCAGTAAAGAGGGGTAAAAGGGTCTTTAATAATATTTGTAATAATAAATACATTTCCCATATGTTGTCACATCTTATTTTTTAAAACTTGATGTAAATATATCATCAATACAGAAAACCACAGAAAACAAATGTACGGCTTAATGAATTATTATGAGGCAAACACTCCTGTAATCAGGTGGTAGCCTCCAAGGTGGTCCGCAATGATTCTTGCCTCCTGTTTTTCAATGTCCTTGTGTAGTCTCCTTTCACAGTAAACAGAACTGACCTGCGTATCCAATAGGATATTGTGGAAATGATGGCGTATGACTGCTCAGCCATAAAAGATACTTGTTAGGAGTTATTGATTATTCACCCCAAAGGAAGTGAGCTGTCACGTAGTGAGGACACTTAACCAGCTCTATGGAGAGGTCCATGAGGGAGAAACAGAGGCTTCCTGTTGACAACCAGCACAAATTTGAGAGCTACATGAGCAATCTACCTTGGAAATGGACCCTCTAGTGCCAGTCCAGCCTTGAAATGACTAAGCCTGGGCTGGCATCTTGACTACAACTTTTTAAGAAAGTTCAGGCTAAGCTGAGCCAGTAACAATGTACTGATCCACAGAAACTGTGATATGAGAAATGATTATAGCTATTCAAGCTGCTAAATTTGGGATAATTTATTATATAGTAAAATATAATACAAACCTTCACTCACATTAGGAGACAGAGCCTTCCTGGCCCTTTTTGTCCCCTGTTCAATTGCACATCTTCTAATCACCTCCTTTTCTGTATAGTTTCATCATCTACTTGTGCATTTTTAAACATTCAGTTTAGTTTTGCCTATTTTCCTTTTTATTTTAGCATAATAAGTTAAAAATGTGGAAGATTATATTCAGCATTTGTGATAATTCATTCACCAGATTCTTCATTTGTAATAATAGTATCTTTACACATAATGATTTAGCACTTATCCAGTAGATCATACATTTTTAAACCCACTTAATCATCATTAAAAACTCTACAGGGCAAGAATACAGCTAGTCCTGTTTACTAGTTGGAGAAATTAAGACTCAGTATGGCTAAATGACTTGCTCAACGCCGCAAAGAATCCAGGGCTCAGGGTTCTTGCTACTGCAAACGGGATTCGATTATTTTTTAAGGGACCCACTGAGCTCTAAAGTGGAAGGCAGATCTTTAAAAAGAATCGGTAACCCCTTTTTAAGTCCCCCCTTTTATGCGTACAATATACTTCAGCATCCTCCATTCCCATCAAGCATAAGGATAAACTTCACAAGGGGATAGACCACCCAGGCAGAGATGACGTTGATTTGGACCGCAGTGACAGCAGTGGGAGGGGTAAGAAGTGGTTACACTCTGGATAGATTCTGAAGGCAGAGCTATTTGGAAGATTTGCTGATGGACTGGGGGTGATGTAAAGGACTACCTCAAAGCTTTTGGCCTGAATACCTGGAGGAATGGAGCTACCAGTTTTTGACAGTAGAAGCAGATTTTATTTTTTATTTTTGGCAGAGAGAGGGCAGGGAGGTAGCAACAAGAGAGCTGCTTCAGACATCCCGAGAGTCCTACTACACATCCTAGTGGAGAGATGAGCTCAGTAGTTAGACGTCCAGCAGAAAGGTGACAAAAAGTGCCTCAGTCTCAAACACTCCCCTCAGGGACCGCTGAGCCCTCTCGCGTCCCTCCCGGCTGCAAGCGTCCCACAGACGCGACCACTGTGCGTGGGAATGTGGGTGATGGTGTGACAACCAGCACACAGATCACCGCTCTTTATCATTCTATCCGGTGCCTCCAGTCCCTTACCTGGCAGCTCTACAAGCCCCGGGCCAGCTGACTACGCTCACGCCCACCAACCTGCGGAGGACAGCAACACCGAGGGCACGGCTTCTTGGAAAACTTGCGACAGGCGGGGCTAGGAGGACGTGGTTAGTGCGCCTGCGCAATACCAACGTACTGCGCAGGCGCTCTCTCCTAGTTTCCTGCTGGCAGGCGTGCGGGAGGCGGGGCATCCGGGTCCCTTGATAGCTGCTTCGGGCACTGGAGCTCAGCTGGTCGGCCCCTGCCAGACTAGGAGGTGAGGCTGCCGCGTCTGCCGCCAAAGCATGCACGTTGACGCGCACACACCTGCCTCGATCCCCGTTTTCAGAGGTCCGGGGAGGAAGTTCGAATTCCTAAAGAACGTTTTCCGTTTTCCAACGCCGAACTCGATTCCGAGCCCGCGCCTCCTGGGGTTGACAGCCCGAATGACTACCTAGGCCTGTGGCGCCCTCCTTCTTTTTCCCCAGGCCCGGCACAGCTCTAAGGTCTTCAGAGCAGTCGTGTTAACCTAGAGCCGCAGCGCGTGCAGCCTCTGCCGGCTGCGTTCTGGGACCGCCCGGGAATGGCCCTGAAGCTTTGGCCGGGGAGACCTGGCCGTCCCAACCCCTTCCTTGTAGGGAGACTCCGGGGGACTTACCAGTGTGGGATCTTCCTGCTGGGACGTTTTGATACACTCCTGGGCCAGGTGCAGCAGGGGAGGGGTGGGGGTGCTGTGCACCCAGCAGTGGACAAGAAAAAAGGATGCTGGGTTGTCAGGCCTGGCTGGCGTTTAATCTTGGTGGTTCAGCTTTCCAGTTTATGGAGTTGGTTAATGACATGTGTTTTTCCTAGGCATTTTTTTTTCTTGGAAAAATGCCTCATTTGCAATATTTATTTCAATCTTTTACCCTTTTATTCACCCTCACTAATCATTACTTTCTGTCATTTTTTTTTGGTATCTCTGTTTAAAACTTAGTTCTCAGGTTTTGCATCAAAGAAGTTCTAAGCAAGTTTCCTTCAAATGAAATGAGAAGTAAAGCGGGACTTTTCATTTCTTAGTGGTTACAATCATTACGCTGGACTTTTAACATACAAGTATTTTTTAATTTGTTACTTTAAGGTGTGACTTTAAAACTTCAGTAATGGAGTTAGCCCACAGTTTATTGCTAAATGAAGAAGCTTTGGCTCAAATCACTGAAGCAAAGAGGCCAGTTTTTATCTTCGAATGGTTGCGATTTCTTGATAAAGTCTTGGTTGCTGCCAACAAGGTATGATACTTTTTCTTTTTTTTTCCCCCCCCAGTTGGACTAACACAGTCAAGAATATTATGTGTTTGTGATTTGTGAAAAAACATTTTTGGAAAGGTTGTTCATTGTCTGTGTATTTTATTCTCTATCTTTAAAATTAGATGCTTTCCTCAAACATCTGATGATCTTTGGTTGTCTGCTTAAATATGAGTGAGTAGTGAAAAAGTTTTCTGGGCAGGGTGAAATTTGTTAATTGTACTTCACCAAAGGCTAGTCCAGTTCTTTGAGGACTCTTGATGCTAGTATCATAGGTTTCTTTTGGCTACTCATTCCCCAGAAGAGACTTTTTTACTCTCACATTCTAGGGTGGATGACTAGTTGTTTAAGTTCTAGGAACTGAAGGCGAAGCCTAGGGACCTAAACATTCAGTATGTAAACTTTCACTTAATCTGTTCTCAGTGCCGTTTTCCCAGGCCACAGCCGTGCCTGGGCTTCATAAGTCCAGAACAGAGGAGGGAGATATGGGAGTCTTACAGCTTCTTAGATTCTCAGTCATTCCCCTCCATTTCTAGACATAACTTCCATATGCACCTAGAGCCTCAAAACAGCAACAACAAGCAACATGAGATTTTAGAGGATTTTTTTGTTGTAAATTGAGTCTCTTCTCAGCTTTTCCTGTTGGGGATACTCGACTTCCATATTCTGCATCGATTGTTTTCCTCTTTCTTTACTCTTGTGGATATACGCCTTTTGGGGGGTGGTGGTGTTGCCTTTAGTTTTAGTAAGGCTTCTTTAAGTAGAACTTTCTATTTTCTCTTAAACCCTCTCCAGCTGGGTTATTTGTTGCCTCTACTCCACTGAACAGCTCTTGTCCAGTCATTAGTATCTCAAATTGCCCAAACAAATGGGTCAGTATTCTGTATTAATTGACATAGTTCATCTTCTACCTTAAACATTTGTATATTTTTTATTTTGTTGTGAAAATGAAAAATACAAAAGGGTATATATATACAAAGTTATCTAAGTTATGAAGCATAATAATATGAACATCTGTATACCCTCCATTCAAATTAAACAGTTGATTTTTATTGTTACCATGGATGCATGCTGCATCCTACCCATGGTTCCCAAGACACCATTTGTTTTTAGTTCTCTTCCTACTTCACTGGTTACTCCTCATTCCTGTTTTTTGGTTCTTTCTCAATCCTGTGCAGCCTTTTTTTTCCTTTTTAAAAAAATCTATTTATTTTTACAGTGATATCTAATCTCAGATTTTTACTACCATCTATACAGTAATGACTCCCAGACATCCAGCGAGGCACTCTACTGTTTTCTCTTGGCTATCTAACCAGTATCTCAAAGTTAACATGTTCAAAATGAAACATGTTCTTGATTTCCCCCTTCCAAACCTCTCTTTTTCCCATTGCTCTTCATCTCAGGAAATGACCATTTCAGCCTTCTAATTGTGCGGGTCATAAACCTCAGAGGCATTCTTGACTTCTCTCTTATTCTCAAATTTCACGTCATATTCATTAGCAAACATTGTTGGATCTATGCACTAAATATATCCAGAATTAAGTTACTTTTCATCATTGTTACCATCCTCATCTCTCATCTGGATTAGTGCAAAAACTTCCCAAGTGTTCACTGTGCTTCCGATATGTACCTGGTAGAGTATTCTTAGCTCAGTGGTCAGAATGAGCCTGTTAAAACATTGAGATTATGTCCCTCCTCTGCTTCCAGCTCTCAGAATAAAATACGACACAATCTGGTCCTTTCTACTCTTCTAATTTCATCTCCTCCTACATCCTGCCTCTTACTCTGCCTCAGCCAAACTGGCCTGCTCACTGTCCTCATGCAGGTTAAGCATGCTCCCTCCATGACTTTATACAATTCACTTCTTTTCAGAGAGGTCTTTCCTCACTAATCAGGGTGAAATAGTAAGCTATTTATTTGTTTAGTTGGTCAATTCTGGTCTCCCCTCTAGAATTTAAATTCATGAGGGCATAGACTTTACCTGTTGTGTTCACTGTTGCCTAGAATATTGATGCCTAGAATAGTGCATGGCATATAATAAGTATACAAGACATATTGAATGAATGAATGAATGAACTTTAATATTGATTATGGGTAGATCTGAGTATTTTTCTGTTGCCTAGGGCTCCTTTGGAGTGTCTTCTGATTTCCTTCGCTGACCTATAACGTTTTGGACTACTGACTTTGTTTTTAAAGGAGAGCTTATCTGGGTTCTGAGGCATCAGTTGTCCATGTGCCTAATATTTTACGTCCTTGGACTATGTTTTATTTCTTAGTAAGCTGACATGAAAACTTCTGAGTCTAGAGTAGTCACTTTTATTGGCAGCAAACTTATGGCTTTCGAGGGGAATGAAGGAGACTCTTTAATGTAGTGACAGATGATTCATTTCTTACTGAACTTTTATCTTGAAAATTCTCATTTATGGTTTTATGCCTAATGTAATATAGATTTTAGCTATTAGAGTACCTTAACTGTTAAGTATTTTTTATTTTGACTAAAAGGCAACAAGAGTACATATAAGAAAAAAACTGGACAGAGACAGAATCATACAGGGTCTGGCACAAATAATGCCCCTTTTTAATTACAGAATCATAAGCATGTAATTCTGTAACATAACAATATCACACTCAAGCACACCATATGACTCTTTAGGTGAAACGTTCAAATTAAAACTATAAATTATTATACCCATTATTATTGTATTTTACCCTACCAACCACACTCACGCAAGCCATACTTCTGCCGGACCCTGTAGACGGAGAGCAGGTGACAGCTTGGGCGGGGGCGGCAGGGGAATTCGCTCAGGGGATGGAGGGACTGAGCAAAAAGGAAAAAGCACTCATGAATATGACAACAGTGTGGTGATTGCTGGGGGGAGGAGGGTATAAGGGGACTAAGTGGTATTGGGAAAAAAAATACAATGAAGATTAAGTTTAAAAATAAAAAAAAAAACTGGTGATGTTCTTTATTTTCTTTTACAACAGACTGATGTTAAGGAAAAACAGAAAAAACTTGTTGAACAATTAACTGGATTAATAAGTAGTTCACCTGGACCACCTACGCGAAAACTGTTAGCTAAAAATCTCGCAGCCCTCTATAGCATTGGGGATACTTTCACGGTTTTTCAAACACTTGAAAAATGTAATGACATAATCAGAAGTAAAGATGACACTGCAGCCTATTTACCAACAAAATTGTGAGTACTTACTTTGAGATCGACCCTTGAACATTTTTTGTTTTTTCAGAGTATCTTGTCTTAATAAGAGGCTGCTAGTTATAAAGACCTCCAGGTAGACTGAACCTGAGGCATGCCACTAAAGCTCCCTAAGTAGGTCTGGGTAAGGGGTTCTATTTCAGCATTTGCTCCATTGCCACTGGGACTTTCAGCAAGCTACCAGTGGATTGGTATAATGTCAGCAGTTTGCATAGTGGTCTTTTGGTAAATTTGGATGGAGATAATATTCTAGGTTGGGATGAAAGAAACATAAAGAATTTCTAGGTGATAGGATTGAGGCAGGAAGAGGCAAACCAGCCCACAGGCCAAATCCAGCCTGCTGTCTGTTTCGTAAATAAAGTTTTGTTGGGATGCAGACAAATCTGTTCATTTCAGGGGTAGCTGATTTCATGCTCTAATGACATGGTTGAGTACCGCCTTGCCTGCTAGTTTGTTGACCTCTAGATCAAGACCTTAATCCAGCTCCTAGCCCATACTTGTGGTTTGGATCAAGGGCGGACATTTTTGGAGCAAGTCTTGAAGATAAATGGCTCTAGGGACACATTCTGTGAAAGAGTTAAATAAACACAGCAATTACAGTACCAGGAAGAGTGCTGTGGGAGAAAATCA